AAAACCCCGGCGCGGCTTTTCAATTCAGCTCTTTGAGACCCTGACTAAGGTTTTCTACACAGGTTGCCAAGCACAGTAATCAGACAAATAATCTATTTGTAATAAAAGATATGGCTTTGAAAAAACCGTTTTTTGGTTTTTATCAGCCAATCAGATGGGAAAATTTTTTTATCCAATCATAGGCGAGCAAACAGCGCCCTCCAATGGACTCTCTTTTTTTTTAAAAAAATTCTTTAGGAAAAAGAATGAAAAATCAGCGATTTCTTGGGAAATCGGATTTCCTGCTCAGGCTCCTCGCGGTCATTGTTTATTGCCTGACGCTTTTTTATGCGAGCTCGCTCAGATACTGTTACAGCTCATTTCTGCGCGGCTTTATCTGCTCCATTCTAAAACATAACAGGAATTTAACGGCGATGACGAGGTGTCAGAATTTTTTTTGAAACTCAATATTCCTAAGAATTGACAAAGGCTCTTTATCGTCATGCTTATTATCATGATTTTAATTGTCCAACAAAACCTTAACGAGCTAATCAATGACATAAAGGAACTGATGAAAAAAAGATTTGAAAAGAAAAATTTTGTGAAGAAATTTTGTCAAAGGCTCAGAAACCTGTGTACGAAACCTGAGTCAGGATGTAAAAAAGCTTTCAAGAAAAGCCGCACCGCGGCTTTTGAAAACAAAGCCGAAAAACGGCTTCGCCATAGAAAAATTCTCAACTAATTGGAAGTCTTGGCGAAGCCGCTCCGCGGCTTTACAAGAAAAGCTGCGCGCGCTTTTGATAAATTTTTTCAAAGCCAAATTGGGTCTTTTTGTTGACAATTATGATCAATGTCTTGTTCAAAAAATACTGTCTTTGTGCTCCAGATCCAGCTGTTTATGCTTTAAACTTGCAATTAAAAATAGCGTGATGCTAAACAAACGAGTTCCCGCGAAGCGAACACAAGATGTATTCGTTTTTATGCTGATGATTGCGATTTCTCGCGGCTTTTCTTTCTGAAGAGCCGGGCCTTGGCTCTTTACTGCCACCTGATTCAACACTGCTTGCATCGACCTTGCTTGTGCTCGGCTCGTGAAAACTCGCAGGGGCAACTCGCGTGCGCCACCGCCTTCGCCACGAAAGCAGCTCTTCGCTCCTGGTTGCTCTAGCTCGAAACCGACCAGTCCAGCGGGAAAAGAAAAAAGAGAAATAACGAAGCTCTACGCTTTTTTCGGACACGGTCTTTTTTACCGAAGAGAACTCAGATAAAGCCACCAATTAAAACGACAAGAATTGAAGGAGAAAACAGTCGAAAAAGGTACAGTAAGAAGAAGAATCATTACAGAAGAAAGATGTTTATTAGAAAAAGAGGAGACAGAGATGATCATGTGACCATTTTTACGGAAAAATTTTTTCAAATTTTTCAGAATTTTTTTTGATAATAGATTTGAGGTTAGGGTTATGGAAAAAATGCGAAAATTTAATGCTTTCAAAAAATTTTTTTCTGAAAATTAGGGTTATTTAGGGTAGTCGAGCTTGATTTGCAATTTAAATTTGATTTTTTTTAGACTTTGAATATGCATTTATTTTAATTTTTTTTTATTTATTATATGATTGAAAAACATAGAAAAAGTCACTGATATACGGTAGACTTAGTATGATCAGTTACTAAATTAAGGGTGTCATGATTTTATTCGAGAGTTTTTGAGTACAGAAAAGAGATCATTGATGATTCATAGTGCGTATTCTTGAATTTCATGATAAGCTTTTTTCTGTGACTTAATTTTCTATTTCATATTTGTCCATTTTTTGTCGATTTATAATCTTGCTTTAAAAAAACTCTTCCGGAAATACACGTGTTGTCAGTCCAAACCCGCCGCCCGTCGTGCAGTTTGTTGACGGTTAAGCTGGCAACCTTCTAATCAGAAATCCAATGCACCTCGCCATTGCCTCACAACAAACCCACGACTACCTTAAATTTGCATGGGCCCCCTTAAGAATTTATTTTTGTCGGCAACACGCGTTTTTACACTGTTATATAAGCTGCTACAAGCACCAAATAAACACACCATTTTTTAGCAACGTCATACCTTCGCATTTCGCTTACGAAATAAAATCGTTTAACGCGATGACTCCCTTAAAATCAACTTCAATATCACTTCCAGTATTGAAAAAACTATTTTTATTAATAGTATCTTTTTGATAGCTTTATGTCAAATTGATAATGATTTCTTTTTAGATAAGGCATCTTTCCTTGATTTCACTGTGATACCCTTAACGCCGGAACGCATAAAATTTTTTCAAGTTTGAACGCAGATCGTACCAATTAATTGGTATGCCCCTTTTACCACTTTTTAACAATGAAACTATTAAGTTAACTGTATAAATGATACAGATAAATAATTCTCAGACGCTTAGCTTCAATTTCATCCCCATATTATACCGATATCATAACATGAATATGAGTAAATATGCATATTTCTAAATGTGTCGATTTTCATGTCACTAAAGAAATAACCTTTCAAAATGAAAAAAGTACCTGAGTTCAAAACTTCGTTCAATAGCTAAAATCTAAAATTTTCGAAGAAAATTTTTTTTGACACCGGAATCGAATACCTCGATAAAAAGTAGCTCCATAAGTGGGGGTTCATATATTTCTAATGTTAAGTTAAAGTTGAGTTATGAGGCATTAAAGGGGCTTGTACCAATTAATTGGTCGCTCTGCGTTTCGGCGTTAATTGAAAAATTGCTTTTCTCTTTCAAGATATATTTTTCTTTCAAAAAAACCTAATTTGAGAAAGAAAAACATTTTTAGTCGTTTTTTCGTTATTCTGAAATTTCAAACTTCCAACAACACACCCTTAAGGAGGGAGTCGACGAGAAAAATTTTTTCACTTTTTCAAAATTTTGGTTATATTTTTGGATTCCTTAATAAAAAAGGAGCATTTTTGGTCTCCAGCTTTTTGTGCATTGGTTAACTTTTTTTAACAAAATTTACGATTTTGTGTCTGGAATTCGAGATTTTACAAAATTTAAAAGTTGGTTATTTGACCCAAAAACAATCTTAATCCGATTTTTATTTACTAGATATTGTTTTTTAATGGTTTTATTATTATTTTCTGTAAAAAATTCCGAGTCTCGGCGCTTTTGGTGAAATTCTCCGTGAAAAATGAGCAAAAATGACGATTTTTAGAAAAATCGCATATTTTTAGTTAACAGAAAAAAATTTTTTAACAATAGCAACCCGTTTTATATTGTCGCCGCTGTATTTTTATGGGTTTCAACTTACTATTTATTTAATTTGATGAAGAAAAAAAAATCCTGTTTTTGAGATTTTTTGGTTACGAGTAACCCCCACTTTGACCCAATTTTCTGAAAATTTTTCCAAAAAAAATTTTTTCTAGTTTTCGCCGCTGTATTTTTCAAACACTTTTCTTTCCACCTGAAAAGTCAGAATTTGCCTATCTAAGCAGGTTTTTCCGGATTTTTGGTTACAGAAATCCCGATTCTCGTCGACCTCCCCCTTAAATATCAACTTTAAGCACTCCCTATACGCCTTCTATTGGATTAACCCTTACGTCATCATTTGGCAAAAGTGCGAAGTGACCTTCACGGAGAATTAAAATCACGTGAAACCGTCAATTCAGCCTTTTGTTCTTCTCCTAAGGAGCATCCACTTACATTCTTCCAGGCGCCTTTGGAAGTGATACATCCTTAACATCTTTGAAGAGCTTCCTGAGCCCTCGTTCACGCCCTTCCTAGCCATTTCTTCAAGTTTTAAAATGCTTCTTATTACTTTCTTCAATTCTCATTTTAATTCACTAAAGAAAGCCTTCACTTTCTTAATTCATCCACTCCACCCTTAAGGATCTTACATTATTTTAAGAGTTTAAGAATACGCCCTTCAATTCTTAAGGGTCCACCCTTCAAAGAAGTAAATCAGATTTATTCACTTGCTCTTTAGACGAAAATTCGCGTGTGTCACCCTTAATCCACTCAAATTAAAGACTGTCTATTCTTACGACTCGCTAAAATTGGATTCTTCAAGGCTTGTCAGGCAGTCTTCATCCGTGAATTTGAGGAGTTTTCGAGTCAAAATTCTTGATTTTCCCTTTTTCCTTGTTTTTTTCGCCAAAAAATCCTTGAGAATTTCAGGAGCTCGATTTTGCTTACCTAAACGAAAAGAGCGCGAAACTATCAAGTTCTTGAGCGCCTAAGCCGCGAAATTCGAGCCGTCGTTAGGTTGAGCCGAGCGCGAAAATCCCCGACTGGATCCACCGATCGTTAGTGCTCTCTAACGATGGTAGGTTCAAGACTCGTTCAAGAAGCATCATTTTCAAGAACTTCCCCAATTCAGTTTCAAATAAGAAGTGTACTCGTGGGAGGAATCGTAAGACGCTCTAAACGAAGGTCAAGTTCTGAGCTCGCCCGCGGGGGCGGATTTTTATTCCGGAAAAAAGTGCCGTCCGGAGGACTTTGACAGCTTTAACCAGCGAACTTCACCGCTGAAAAAGGCAAAGATTTTCGTGACAACTCCTTTTTATTAAATAAAAATCGATATAGAAAGAGGTCCCCTCAATTCATCTTCGTCACAAAATTTTGAAAAAAAAGTCAAAGAAGAAGGCCACGTGGGCCACCTTAGAGCTGACCAAGAACCCCGTCGGAGTGCGGTCGGAATTTCACCGGAGCTGTAAAAGAATGTGCAAATCTACACTTGACCGCGGGAAATTCCGATCGGCGCACTCGAAAATTCGCATCGTCGTTTTTTCCTTGACTTTGCTCTAGAACAAAAATTGACCCGTTTAGATCACGTTCCGTGCATGTTAAAATAACGTGTTCTGATAAGCTGCATCTATCAGCTCCTGATAAGCATTTACAAAGCCAATTAGATGGCGCTATCAATTTTACAAATCCGAAAAAAAACGGTTGCTTGATCATCTTATTTTCTCTTATAGAAAAAACCATCGATTTCAAACTCCATCTGATAATTGCGTTTAGACTAATCCGAGAAGAAATACCGCAATGGCCAAATTATTTGGCCTTGCTCTGGCCGCTACGGCTAGCTTGGCGACAGCCGCAACTCAAGGTAAATAACCGATTTCAAATCCTGATTCGAGGAGTCGAATTTATTGAAGAACCGATAAAAATATTTCGACAAATTTTGCGTGGAAATTTTCAACCAATCAGAAGCCTAGATTCGGCTTACGGGCTAATCAGCAGCGGAGTAGCCGCCCACGCAAAATTTTTCGAAATTTTCAACCAATCAGAAGCCTGGATTCGGCTTAGCGGCCAATAAGCAGCCGAATTGCCGCCCACGCAAAATTTGTCGAAATTTCCTCGATTCGTGAAACCAACCCTTATATTCGTAATCTAACTCGATATCCTAGCTGATCATGGTCTCTCCTGGGGCCAATGGGGCGAATGGTCCTACTGTGGCAGAGTCGGAAGCACAGTAAAGAGACGACGAATCTGCCAAGGCCAAATCACCAACAAAGCATTGAAAAAGACACGATGTCTTGAGGTTTTGGCCGATTCCAATATCGAAACAAAAATCTGCACAGAAGCGGATTCACCAACCGTTGCCCCACCAAGCAACATGGTTCTCGGTCGAACTCAGCGAGAAGTACAGCCAAACGTCGTCCAGTGGCAGGAGTGGCAGGAATGGAGCCGATGCAACAACGGCATGCAAAAGCGAACAAGATTCTGCGGCAAAGCTGTTGAGCGAGGCATCCGACCAAACTCCGATTGCAAAGAGAAGAACCACGACAGTAGAAATGTCGTCAAGAATAAAGAGACTCGATCGTGCATTGATGATGTTCTCCGAGGCGGTCAAGATACTGGCTACTCCGTGAGCAGCAGCAGAGCCGACGGCAGAATGATGAGCAACGCTGCTTTCGACAGATTGAACGTTGACTTGTCCGATCCTCGATGCATGTACCATCCCGGCACCCAGAAAACTGACCTTGGCAGAATCGTTGGTGGTAAAGTCGCTTGCAAGGGCTGCCATCCTCATATTGCTATGCTCTCTTACGTCGGATTTGGCGGCTACGGCCAGTTCTGTGACGGTTCGATCATCAACGAGAGATACATCCTGACAGCTGCTCATTGCTTTGTCGGCTGGGATGAGAGCCCATCGACATACGAAGTCCTCGTCGGCGCCCACACGAAAACATCCGAAGAAGAAAACCAAGCCACCTACCTTCTCGATGAAATTACGTGCCACAAAGAATACAAAGTCACTCAGCGACAAATCTTGTATGATATTTGCATCTTGAAAACATCTGAGCGAATCGAATTCCACGAAACCGTTTGGCCAATCTGCTTGCCAGACAAGATCGAGCCACCAAACTCTGAGGAGCTCGCTGGAATGTTTTGCACCGTCGCTGGTTGGGGTGACACTCGATGTAAGTACCAAATTGATTTTCTTCAGGATTTTTTTTGCGAGCCCTTATTTGGAACGCCCTTGTTATGTCTCAGAATGTCCCAAATGTCCCGAATGTCCGAATTCTAGAGACAGAAAAGTTGTTACTGAGCTCGTATTTTGCACTTTTTTTTCAAAATCCGACGAGGACATTCGGGATATTCTGGGACATTCGGGGACATTCGGGGACATTTGGGGACATTCGTGACATTCTAAGACATTCGAGACATTCGGGACATTCGGGGACATAACAAGCGTCTGATCCTTATTGACCTTGAAATTTAGTTACTGGCGATGACAGAATCCTCAATGAAGTCGATGTTCCTGTCCTCACCCACAAGACATGCCAAGAATGGTATGAGGACAACAACATTCTCGTCGATGTCGATCAACATGTCTGCGCTGGATACGAAGAAGGAGGTCGTGATGCTTGCCAAGGAGACTCTGGTGGACCTTTCGGTAATTATTGATCATTCAAGTCATGAACTAATAATGAATTTTAGTCTGCAACCGAACTGACGTTGCCGGCCGTGAAGACCCAAGTGTAAACGGCAAAGTTCTCACAGGAATTGTCTCTTTTGGCGTTGGATGCGCTCAGGCAAAGAACCCAGGAGTCTACACAAATATCAATCATTTCCTCCCATGGATCCACGAGCAAATTAGCAGTAAGTCGAAGTTCGAATTTTAACATTTTCAACAATTTTTGGCCGACTTTCCTGATTCTTTTATTTTTCAGAGCACGACGACTGTTACCCAGTGAATCCCTGCCAAAACGGCGGCCAGTGTTATGATACGATCGCCAGCCATACTTGCGAATGCACATCGGAGTGGAGCGGTGATAACTGCGAGATCCATGTTACAGGTAATTTCCTCCAAAACGATCGGATTCTTGAAAAATTGTCTTAGAGATCACAGCTTGCCATAACAACCAATGTCAAAATGGAGCCGAGTGCATCCTAATCGACAGCTCCAGAGGATACGAATGCAAATGCAAAGATGGTTATGGTGGACCTTTCTGCACAATCGGTAAAAAATTCTTGAAAACACCCCGAAAATTAGCCCGCGTTTAGTGACCGACAAATGTGTCTTGATCGATTGCAACTTCGGCGAATGCGAAGTCGACAGCAACGGGCAACCAAGATGCGTCTGCCCGAGCAACTGGACTGGAAGCTTCTGTAACGAAGACGTCAACGAGTGTTTGAGCAATCCATGCGCCGCTGGAGCTGGATGTGACAATACCAAGGGTGGATTTGAATGCTCTTGCCCATTCGGATTCAAGGGTGACGGAACCATCCAAGGAACTGGCTGCTCTGGTAAAGATATCTCTCTTCTTTCATCCTCTAAAATGATCTAGATATCGATGAATGTGCTGAGGGAACTCACAACTGCGGACCTTCCAGCATCTGCACCAACAACCAGGGTGGATTCAAATGCTCTTGCCCCGCCGGCTACACTGGAAACCCACCAGCGGTCAAATGCCGACCCGCACAAAAGATGGAAGGTAAGAACTCAAGTTTTTCTCTTCCAAATTGATTTCCAAAGTTTTTTGGCCCTTTTTGCAAAATTCTATTTTCTTTCTTTCTTAGATGATGATTCTTATGATGACGATAGTTCTTCATCCTTCGAGAATGAATACGGTATAAAAAATCGACCTTGAAATACAATTGAAACTGCAGGGGAATTTCTCATCCCTAGAAATTTCCTTCCCTCAAATTTTTGATTTTATAAGAAATTCTGGCCCTTGTTCTTATAAGCACTTTTTTTGTTTGAATCAATAGCTAACATGATTTTCATAGCTGATGACTGCGATATGCTCACCGAGGATTGTGGTAATTTCTTTTTTTTTTCCTGTCAGATAATGTTCTTCTTTTGAAGACTTTTTCTGTTAAAATTTTTATCCATAATTTCTTTTCTAAATCATGGGTATCGTAAGAAAAACGATTTTTCGGGGGAAATAACTTTTTCATTTCCCGCGAGTTTCAGAAAAAATTAAGGTCATCTTCTTTTCTAATGTATTTTCTAGCTGGAGCCTCCTGCCCAAATATTGTCTACGAACTCTCGAAGGTCACCTCCAACTTCCTCAAGTACAACGATGGTACTCCACGATACGAGATTACTTGCGGAGTCAACGGACAAGAACTGTAAAAAAACCCGCTTTATATTACTGTTTGTTTACTTGCTTTCTAGCTCTTTTGACGATCTTGTTGCTGACAAGAGCATCACTCATCCAATTTCTCCAATCAAGGGCGGTGCTCACACTGACAATTCTTGTCTTTTCAGGTAAAACTTTTTCGAAAATCATTCTCTTTGAGATTATTTTCTCTAAGATGAAAGATGCTAACTTGAATTTCAGATGCAAACCCGGCCAAATGATGTCCGCTCCAGCCTTCTCGAAAGTACCAGGGAGTCAAGCAAGAATCGATTGCGTCAACCGCGCCAAGGGAGTTGCTTTGAAACCAAACAGGAACCAGCTCCGATGTCACGGTAAGCAGAAATCACGTGGAGCCCCCTCCGTTTTATTTCCAACCATAATAAAGAGCACTTTCGTGATTTTCAAATTGATCTTAACGTGAATTATGAAATCGTACTTTTCCGAAAAAAAAATCTATCAAGCCCAATTTTATCCAAAGCTAATCTCTTTCTTTTCAGGCTGTAACCCAGTCCCTGGCGTTGATTTCTCCAATTGCCAAGTCAAAAACAAGAAGCTCATCGTCTGCCAGGCCAAGTGCTCAAGTAAGTCTTCCTTATTTTCCAAACAGAAATACATCTACAGTCGGAGTCCAAAAAAAGGGACTTTTTCTGCTCCAAAATTTTCGTAAAAAGTCCCTTAAATTGGTACAATTTAGCATTAAAATCATACAAACCATGCCGCAGATTTTCGGCATTTTGGGCCAAAAAGTCCCTTATCTTGGTGTCCATTATCTTGAACTCTGACTGTAATCCTAATCCTAAGGGTAAGGTCGGCAAGTGTACAAGCATCTTTTGAATTGAGCCAATCAGATGCCCTTATTTTTCAAGCAGCCAATCAGATCTCTCCATTTCAAAAAATGCTTGCACTATTGCCGATACTACCCGTAAGCGTAACCGCTTCTACAAGAGGCAATTCTGATCATGAAGCGTTATTCTGCGCTCTGATTGGTCAATCATGTAAAACCGCCCGGTCGTTGCTGAAAGACATCCTTGTAGCTGAAAACCTTAACACTGACCTTCCCTAAGATCTGAACAGTAAAACCCTTCATACCTCCCATATCAATCCCTAACCCTAACCCTAACAAAGACCGAAACAGGGAACATCAACCCTAACCTAAATTTTAAGGCGGCGGAAGCAGCGTCTCAGTCCGATGCCAGAAGAAGAAGGGCAAATTCATCTGGAGCGCAAGCTTGCCAAAATGCTGAGATGATGATGATCACCAATCATTTTAATTATTTTTTAAAAAAGTCGCGAAAAATTTTAAACGATTAATTTAAAATTTTAAGTTAAAATTGTTAAAGTACAAACAAACTGCCCTGCAATCATGTAAATAGAAACCGAACCCCCGAAATTTTGAGAATTTTTTTCATTCAGCTTTAACCAAATAATTTTAACCAATTGAAGATAGACACACCATTTGATGGACCGACAACTTGGGCGCTTGGTGGCGTGGTTCTTTTATTATTTTTGCGTACTACTAGGCGATTGTCTGACCGGTCAATCGGCGCTTGTTGTTTTTTTTTGTCTCTAGGGGAGACCCTTAACCCTCGGCCAGCGTCGAGCTCTCACCAAACGGAGTGAAAGTGTCATATATTTTTTCTAGAGCTCGACTTTTCTTCTAGCTGCTCGAGATATTACGTAACAACTCATATCATTATCAACAAACGTAATAAATCTATCAAAAATCCGCTAGGAAGCGCTCCTCATAAGCTTATTTACGCGCCAATTGATTTGAAAAACATCAAAGGCGGCAATTTGCGTAGGTGCGTCACATTTTATTTCGACCAATCAAGAGACAGAACAATCGAGAACAACCGGTCAGACTTGCCGGACCACAGCCACGCCCCTATTCTTAATTTTTGCTGTTTTTGCCACTTTTTGCGTTTGATTTTTACTCGATTAGCAGTCACACCCTTAAGGGCACTGCTAACCTGGCCTGAAGGAAAATCCCAAATTTGATGCAAAATTCAGCTCCCCACCACCTTTACACCAATTACTACAAAATATTTATTTCAAAAGTCCGATAAGAAGAAAATCAACCACTCTTATCAGACAATCACCTGTATATAATTGTAAACATACTGTACCCTTAATTAACAAGGAAATGATCAATGTGACGCAGAAGATCAACTGGGTCCACACTAACGCCAAGTGCGCATTTTCTGTAAATTTACTTTTTTCTGAACTTTGAATAAAAATACTATGAGGCCAGCTGCCCATCGATACAAAAAATAATGCCTTCTTCGATTTCTTTTCCATGAAAAATATTCATCAAAAAGTTTTGCCAAAAAATTAGGAATGGTGTCTGGAACCGGCAAAAAATTTTCGACAAATTTTGCGTGGGCGGCTACTCGGCTGCTGATTGGCCGGTTTGCCGAATCCAGGCTCCTGATTGGTTGAAAATTTCCACGCAAAATTAGTCGAAATTTTTTGTCGGTTCCAGACACCTACCCGAAAATTAAGGGGGTCCCCATGTAAACGATAATATCTGTTCATATAGTGACACCCTTAAAAAATAGGGATTTTTCATTCAAGAAATTTTGATTTTTATTTGGAATGAACTTTCGAAAATCGTTGTTGACACCCTTAACTGTTTTTTTTTTCAAAAGCGTAATTATGGAGGGAGTCGTATATTCATGAAAAAAGCCAGGTACCTTCCTCGTCAGGTCGCTGTAAGGCAATATTCACGATGAAATTGCAATAAAGAGGCTTCAAGTTCCAGCAAATTCGAAAAGGAAAAACGCCTTAGGAGCTAAAAGTCCGCTCGGAGCATAGAAGTGCCCATGCGTTGAATGTAATTTAAGCATTTATTCTTTCTGAGGACATTTGCATGTCGCCCAGCGGTGAAATCTGTCAATCAAATGTCCAAACTGCGGATGGAGAGCTTCAGCTTGTCGCGTCATTGTTCGAGGAAAACGGGGCTCATAACACAGAAGGAGTTAAGTTTCTAAAAGAAAAGGAGAGAAAAAAGGAGAAGACTTTTTATTCATCAGATAAATGAGCAGGGACGTCGATTTCCTTCAAAAAGACATTCGATGGTTTTTCTCGGTCAGAAGCTCGCTCGAGTTTTTCAATGACTTTTTTGATCGCGTCCGTTGGTCGATTCATTCGTTTCATCAGCTTTTCCGTGTCGATTTGTTCCTAAGAAAAATTCAAGTTTTTCATTTTTCTGAATATTTTTTTACCTTGCAAGCATCACTGATATTCTGATCAAGGTACAAATCGGCCAAGAATTCGAGAACTCCTGGGAAGTTCTTTTCCTCGGCGAGTTTTCGGACCTTTGATTGAATCGTTTGACCGGCTGTCTAGAAAGAGGGGAAAAAAGTTTGATGGATTCGCGATTCTAGTGTACCTCGGAAGGATCTTTCTTCGTGTTGACGCAGTTTTTGCCTGCTTCTCGCTGAAGAAGAAGCTTGAGATTGTTGTGCTGGGTGCTGATGACTCGGAGTATCTGTTTTCGGAGTGTTCTTTTGGCTCGGTTTTGAGCGCTCTAGAATATTTTATGCCCGAGCAAGCGCTCTAAAAATCTAGCTTTTGCTTTACAGTTGTTTCTTGAACATTGAAAACTCATTCCTTGGAAAGATGGCCAGATCCACTCAAGTTTTCCACGGCCCAAGATGCATATGCTTCTCGGTTTCTCTCGATAAGTCCTTAGTTTTACATGGTGAAAATCATTTCCAACTTCGAGAGAAGTTCCAACTCTAGTTGAACTTACCAGCAGCATTTTCAGCTCTTGTTTTACGCGTTTGAGAGGTTTGAACGTCCTTCATGAAGTTGTTCACGTGGGCATAATTGACACTTTTTTGACTCAAAAATCTGATCATGGAGTTTTGATTTAAAAAATTCTAGTTTTGAGCCGTTCCAAGTGGAGCATTCGCAGTTGGTATGGCTCACGCATCGTCCATTATTACAGCAAGGCTAGAAAAAGGAATGATTGATAATGACTGTACAAGGAACTTACAGTAGCGAATTCGTTGCCATTGACGGGCACAAGAGCACAGGGAGCAAAGTTGAATTTTCGCCCGCATCTGCCATCCGATCTGGCTCCAGTGACATCTGAATTTCGTTGATCACGATTTGGCTAATCAGAATTTCTCACCAATTACGACGCCAGCATTATTTTCAACCATTCTGTGCGGGAAAGCAAGCATGCTCATTCGCATCTGCTTTCCTCCCTTCTTCTTGGCTTTCTTTGCCTTTTTGGGTTTCTTGGTCTTCTTGGGTTTTGTTCCCTTTGGTTTTTTATCTTTCTTTGGTTTTTCTCCCTTTGGTTTTTTGTCCTTCTTTGGTTTCTTTGCCTTAAAAATGTAAAAATATGAGTAAAATATACGGAGTAACCTTGGATGGCTTTTGCTTTTTTGGAGTGTCGTCCTCTTCATCGTCATCTGATTGGTTTTTCTTTGGCTTTTTCTTTCCTACCTTTGATGGTTTTTTCTTTGGCGCTTTTGTTGCCTTTTTGGCTTTTTCTTTGGGCCAATTTTTCGATTTGTATCTTGCGCGATTTCTCCATTTTCTTGAGAATCATCATCATCTTCATCGTCGTCGTTGTTGTCATCATCAGAATCGAAGGAGGAGGAAGGAGCAAAGGAGTCGAAACTCCAACTCTTTTCTTCGAATTCTTCCTCTCCGCCTTCTTCTTCGACCGAGTCGTAGAGGATTTCAGCCGTGGTCGTTTGTTTCTCTGTAGTAGTGGTTGTGGTGGTGGTTGTAGTAGTCGTGGTGGTGGTAGTCGTGGTGGGTGTGGTAGTAGTTGTTGTTGTCGAAGTGGTTGTCGTCGTCGTTGTTGTTGTAGTTGTGGTAGTAGTCGTTGTGGTAGTGGTTGTTGTGGTGGTGGTTGTTGTCGTGGTTGTTGTTGTTGTTGGTTTTGTAGATTTGGTTCTATCGCGCCCAACAAGACAAAAACTGCCCCTCAGACCTTATCTGGTTCTATTCAGTGTCAATTTGAAAAATGAACAAAGCTGGGCGGATATTCAAGCGAGAAAGAACCATGCTCTGCATTTTTGATTGTAAGGGCTTGCTTAAAGTTACAAGTTCCTCTTGGAGTATGACTGCAGCACATTGCCCCTGGACCACAGTCATCTTCACACGGGCCCCCATAATATCTATTAAGACGTGAAAAGGGTTGATTGAAGTTCTCTTACCTGTAGCCATTTCCACAAGTTTTCCAGCAATCTTTAGTGTTCTCTAAAACTGTATACTGAATATTTTTCAGTGAGGCCGAAGCCAGGCCCAGGAAAAAAGGAACCAAAAGGCGCATTTTTCCTATTGAATCGGCAAAATAAAAATTGAGCGTTTATTCAAAAACAGCAATATTCAGCGACCTTTTTTGGATTCTTTAGAAAAAATAAAAGTGATTCGTCTGATCGAAATGAAAACTGAATTTTTACTTTAAAACTTTTCAAAAGTTCTTATCAAAAAAATCGGTCGAGAACCATGTCATTTTCCTAAAATGTCTGCCAGACAATTTTCTTTCTTCTATGCCGCCTAATGTCTTATTTTCTAAAGTACAAAGAGGCGAAAAGAAGGCGCTACACGATCAGATGAGGAGGAAAACACAACGCGGTCGGGGAAAATTGAACCCTGGCGTGTTAGACCCGTGAATTATTCAAGAAGTGTTTCAGGAAAAGTGCTGTTCCAAACGACACTTGTCACTAGTCACGAGAATGAACACTTACGAGCAAGAGACGGGGTCACCAATTTCTATATTTTTTGTTGGGTTTCTTGAAAAATTAAGATTTTTCTTGCCAATTGATTGAGATTATCTTCTATGATCCCGCTAAAGTCGTCATCTACATCGCCTTCCTACCAACTCTTCTCATCTTTCCAAGCTTTTACATTTGCCTAAAAGCAGTGAAAGAATTCAAGTTCGGTTCGACAAGAGAAACAAGAAATTAAATCTCAGTACAAAAAAATCAACCAAAAACAGTACGAAAGTAAAATGCAAAAAGTTTACGCGCAAGCGGTCAATGAGGCGAGAACAAACGCAGCTAACAGGAAACCGGTTTCAGAGCCGATAAAGTCAAAGTGGAAAACTGCTGGGGCGTTTGGGGCGAAATCAGGATTGCTGCAGAAAATGCATTCGAAGGATCTACCGGTAGGATTTTTCGGTACAGGGACGGCCTTGTTCATCTTTGAATTTGTGCATGTGTGACCTTGTTCGTTCCCTTACCTTATGTAGGTTTGTCCTTGTTCATCATGTGGATAAAACACCTGCATCAAGACAGGGGACGAACAAGGGCACATATGCAGAAAGTCGAGGATGAACAAGGCCAACGCCCTTTTTTGAAACTGCTTCAAAACTTCACCATATTTCGCTCCTTTTGTAAAAATCAAATTGTAGAATCCGAAAGTCGATCCTTTCCCCGTGTAGCAACCCGTGCCCGCCGACTTTAGATCAGCTACTTGATTTCTATTTGGAACTCCAGTTTCCATCGCCAGGAAAATCGACAAGTACTCTAACCTGAACACATGCTTCTGTGAACAAATTACCTGTGTTCCACTCCAACTCGGGGGCCACCTCCTCGACTGTATAGATTATTCAGCGAAAGTCAGACAGATAAATACAAGACACATTACCGGTACAAAATCGTGTTCTCGGCGATTAAAAATTAAGGGGGAACCAATTTGCGGTTTCCTCTCTTTTTGTAAAACAATCTGGGGGTCATATGGAGGACATAAGGAATTATATAGAAGAAGATTTGTTGAAAGCAAAATTGATAGTTTATTGTCAAAAGTATACAGCTTGAGTTGAAGAGCAACTCAAAAAAGAAAAGTTGTAACTGAAGAAAATTAAACTGAGCAATTTTGTCTGTAATTGTAGAAAGCTTTGATTTTTCGCGCTCTTCGGACAACCTGGCGATGAGTTTTGCCCCGACCGATGCAGGCCCAGTTCCGGGCGAAGCTAGAAAGGGCAGAGTTGATTTGGCTGTTGAGTTTGCAGAAGTCAGTGTCGCTGAAGACTTTCACATCTAAAAAGAGTTTGTTGAAAAAAATTTTTCAATTTTCCAATAACCTTCTTCCTCATCTTTTGCGCCGTAGCCATTGATGGTGTGGCAGTTGTCTCCAGTCATAGAGTCTTTGGCAAGCGAGATGACTTTGTTGAGCCGATTGGTGTATCGTTGCTTGAACTGATTTGATTCAACTGGAATCGAATCGATGAGGGTCTAAAAATAGAAATTTTAAAATTGAATTGTCTAAAAAATGGTCGGAATTTTCAAAAATCCTGGAAAAAAATCGTGAAAATCTCCATTTTTGCAAAGAAATTTTGAAGAAAAAATCATATTTTTCAAAATTAAGGATCTCAAAATCAAAAAAATTTGAAAAAAAAAAACTGTCCGAAAATTGAAATTCTTGATCTTGCCCTCATATTCTCTTTTCTTACCAGGACATGAGCTTCAATCTTTGCAATTCTGTCGTTGGGGTTTCCGTCTTGCTGGGCAGCGGCAAATCCGAGAAAAGCGAGGGAGAAAACTTTCATTTTTTTATTTGAAAAAGTGTTGTTGGATAACCTTAACTCTACTTTGTGAAGAAGAGTTATTGGATTTTTGTGATGCTTTGGTCAGCTTTCGCGCGCTTTTTATAGCCCGGGATACTGATAAGAAAATGCGCGCAACAGCGCCACAGGAGACGAGAATATTGTTGGTTGGCGATTTATTTGTGCAGACAAAATTACAGTTCTTCTTTTTGAGGAGCTTCGGCTTTTGCTCTTTCCCGCTCGATAGCGAGTTCCATCAGTCGTTCTTGTTCTTTGATCATGTTTTCGTAGTCGCGTTGTTTTTCCTTTTTTCGGCGGTCGTTTATTTCTTTCTGAAAAGCAAAAATTTCATTTTTTTTATATATATGACTAAAATTTACAAAAAATTTTTTTATAAAATCATAAAAAAAAATATTTATTTTTGAATTTATTTTTTGAATATTTTTTTGAGATTTTTACGTGATTCACATTTAAATTTTTTCATCAATCAAGTTTTTGGTTATTACCTCGAAGGATTTGTACTCCTCCAAAATTTCCTTGGTCTTTGGCTGCTGCTTGACTTTCGATGGATTTCGGAACCTGTTACACTCGGCGTTCTTGCCTCGAAAACAGAACATGTCGTCAAGATCGGATGTTATTGGCTCCTCCGAGCTGTCCGCTGTGACGTCCTTCCAGAAACGATACAGCTCTTCTTCGCCGTGAGTTTCGACCAACTCCATGCACATTTTTGAAAATCGCGTTGGCCAAAGCTGACTAAAAAAAAGCAAAAAAATCATCAAAAATCAAACTGCACTATTTTACCTTGTTGCTGTCACTTCTCCGCGAATGTCCCAAGTTTCGAAACCCGGGCCGGTGAGTCGCCATTCGTCAAGAATAGGTTTTCCGTCTGTCTAAGAAAATTACAGCTAATTTCTTCGAAGTCGACTTACTTTGCTAAGTCCCAGGGCAGTTTGAGTGAGACCAACTCTTTCCCAATTTTTGACCTTACAAAATTCTTCCAATCTTTTTTCAGGATTTCTAGCTTTTCTTAGGCGATGGCGTCAGGAACCGACAAAAAAATTCGACGAATTTCGCGTGGGCGGCTACTCGGTTGCTGATTGGCTGGTTGGCTAAATCTAGGCTTCTGATTGGTTTAAATTTGTCGAAATCTTTGTCGGTTCCTCCGCTTTATTTGGGATAAAAATGACCCCTTTTTATCCTTTCAAAAATGAGAAATCCTTGCCCGTCGTATAGAATATCTTCAGAAAGCTTTCTGGAATACCGAGAATAAACCTCTTCCAGGCGCCAGAACTCCCGACCAAGATACAGAGCAATCAAACGACAAGCATCACATCGGTGACTTTTCATCATCACGGGCATATTCGCCAAGTCCGTAGTATCGTCAAGAAGCGCAAGATCCTGGCCAAGCTCAAAGTCTTTCCGGTGGTCTTCGAAAATAATCTTGAGTTCTTCAGGTGTCGCCTTGAGCATGAAGTTTTTCTGCGCTTCTTTTTCCATTTTCGTTTGTTTGATTGTTTTCATATTGTAATTCAAGGCGTTTTTTGTTGGGTCTTCCTCGTTTGGGATGAATTCGCGGGCCATGTTTCCGAAGTCGAATCGTTCCTCTTGAAAATGGCTCAAAAATCACTTTTTTCGGGCAGAACGAAAAAATGGAAGTGATTTTCTGAATCAGGGTTTTGATTAGCCGGTAGGCAAAATACAGCAATCTTATTGGTTATTCAAAAACTCACTTCCATTTTTTTGTTTTGTCCGTTTTTTTTCATCAAAAAAAAATTTTAGTCGAATATTTTTTCTTTTTTTTTTTATTTTTTCTTCAATTTTAAGCCCTGCTCTGGTGGAATAAAACTGTCTTCATCATCTCTTTGCGCAGAAACAATAAAAGGAAGAAGCTTCAAAACTTTCATTTTTTCCTTGTTCTTAAAATTTTTAAAATTTGACGTGAGTAATGTTTTCCTCCGGTTTTCGGCGATTGACCGGGAGTTGAAGCACCGGTCAGTGCTGCGTCATATCAACTCAGGCAATTTTTTTTCCATGATAATTTTTTTAATGAATTGACAATCGACAATTGAACTCATTAATTTTATCTTGTTTGATTGAAAAGTGTTTGTTTATGTAGATTTTTCTCGTTTATCAAGGCCGGTCCGGACGCCGTTTAACTGGAACTCTTATCGTTCCAGTAAAGAGCTTTATTTCCGTAAGCGGTTGATAAGATAGCTTCCGTCGGACCATTTTTATCGCCCTCTGTAGTTCACGCGAAAATATGTTTACGCAGAATTTTTCTTTTGAACTTCGGTTTTCAAGCTATAGTATTTCGATTAGCAATAATTTTTGAAATTCAGCTTTAGTTATCAGAATGTTAACTCTTTGGGCGCGAGCCTGCCCCTATGCATTGGCAAACGCGTGGCGCTTTGAAACATAGTGAAAAAGTAGTGGTAGAATCAAAATAGTTTAGGCTATTTATAGATGCAAATTTTATCTTTTATCTCCGTCGGAAATATCTGTAAATAGCCACTGAAGATTGACCAAAAAACAGGAAGGCGGCGCGCGCTCTCCCTCTGCTTCCCCTTTTTGAAGGGAAAAGCGCGTGGATAACGACTATTTTGGCCGAGTCAGACTTTTTCTTTTTCATTTTAGAGCAAGTTATTGTAGCAAATTTAATACTTACGCTAGCCCAAAGGGTTAGAAAAGCGTAGAAATCGCTAAATACAGCGCTAAAGAGTCAGCGTTATACGCAATTAGCGCAGCTGCGGGGTCTTTCTTGAGAAAAAAAGCGCGATCTGGAGATGCACAAACGCGCTTTTGCCGGGAAGGGTGCTCCTGTGGCACTGTCGGGAGCTGTGACATTTGTCCTACACAAGCCGAGAGGCGCCCCACCACACAACGCATGACCAAGCTACTAGCCTTAGGGTTAGGTTAGGGTTAGGGTTAGGTTAGGGTTAGGTCAGGTTAGGGTTAGGTTAGGGTGTAGTAGCTTGCTGCAGCGCGGTGTGGTAGCGCGCCCCTCGGATAATCCGAGTCGGATTGTGTAGGACAAATGTCACGCTACTCGGCACTGTCTCTCTTGTGGCACTTTCTCTCCCGTGGCACTTGCGCCCGCTGTGGTATACCACTGGAGAGACGGTGCCATAAGAGAGACATTTTCAACTATCAGATTCTCGAAATGATAATTTTAGGGAGCCAACCGACCTATCTCCATGTGCGCGCCTCGCTGTTTTCCATAAGATAACTTTTTTCGATTTACATGAATTTTTGGGTGGACGATTTCAATAGACGATTGAGTTATGTAACAATGTAACAGTTACAAAAGTTCTGTATCCTTGATATCAAGAATCCAAATTTTTGGAAAAAACTCACCGTTAGTACGAGATATGATTAGTTGACGAAATGACAATGAAAGGTCAAGGAAAGTTTCGTCCACGTAGAAAAATAACTTTTAATCAGAAAAAGTTCTAACGGCAAAGATAGAAACTAAAAACTGCGGGCCACGCGCGTGGAGCTTGACCGGCGGATTCCTTAGGAAGACTATCATTTTGAAAATCTGATAGGTTCGCTTTTGAAAATGTCTCTCTTGTGGCACTGTCTCTCCTGTGGTATGCCACAACAGGCGCAAGTGCCACAGGAGAGACAGTGCCACAGGAGGCAAATATGACGAAAGTGCCACAAGAGCACCCTTTCCGCTTTTGCCGGCATTGACGCTTCTTGACCTTGCCGCTGCGCAAATCGCGCATAATTTGGGCTCTTAAGCGCTATATCTAGCGATTTCTGCGATTTTTAGGCAAAATTGCGAAGTTTTGTTCAGATTTCGATTATTCAATCAGAAAAACTGTATCTCTTTATCTCTAAGATTTAATTGAAATCATAATCTAACTATTACAATTCTTAACCAAATTTAAATTTCATCACCAAAGAGCTTTTTGAATGCGGGGTATTCTATCTCCAAAATCACGCAAAAACAATTCCTATGTCATAAAAATTTTCGTATTGATCAAATACCAGCTATTCTACTTTTACGCGGAAAACGCGTTTACATTTACTCATCTTTGGCTTGACCTATTTGTAACATCCGATTTGACGGTATTCTTATGTTATAATTAGACGTCCTTCACAAAATTCAAAAACTCGAAATATCAAAATGATTCCAGTGTATCTTTTTCTGTCCTGGCAGCCGAGTTTCGGTGTAAATTTAACTACTGGAATCAAACAAAGCAATCAAGAGAAGATTTTTGCAGAGAAGGAAAAGCAAGAGAGCGCGCTTTTGCACGATACAAATGACGAGAGAATTGAATTGACCAAACTGGCTTTAAACACCCATCGTCAGAAAATTTTGAGTCCGATCGGATGTGAGGATGAATGCCGAGCTATTTTCAAAGAATGTCGACTCGCTTGTGGAAGTACTTACTGTCACGCTATGTGCGACGTAGAATTCAAATGTAGGATTCTTTATGAAATTCATTTTTATTCTTACAAATAAAGACTGCTCCGAGGAATGTTCGACTCAAACAACGACAACAACGGGTTCGACAACAATGACTATTTCTGAAAATATTCAGGTTTTCATCAGCCCGACATTTATATACATAATTAATTTTTAAGCACATTCTAGTCATGGGGATGAGCTTGGACGCAGCATTCTTGTTTTCCTCCGATGGATCGATAATTACGGCAGCAAATATCAGTGCACCCTTAGACGACTATGTTGAAACCGCTCCACATGCTCTCATTAAAGGCGAGCTGTTTATATTTGGCGGCAACTCGGATAAACGGAAGGTATTGTGATTTTTTAATTCGACATAAATTTTTGAAGATTGCGATGCTCCAAGGCTGTGAATGGAGAGAGCAATCCGCAAGACTGATCCATAAAATGAATCATTTGTCTGCTGCACTTGCAATCGAAAACGGTGATCAAGCGTTGATTTGCTTTCCTGCCGAATTGGAGCCGAAATACTGTGAAGTTTACGATACAATAACATCTGTTTCGACTCATTCCTCCAATTATTTTCATAATCATGGAAAGCTTGGCTTTTACAAGGGCCTGCCAACAACTGTGGGAAATGGTGGCACTACTTGGAAAAGTAATAATGTAGAGACTATGAGGTCGACTGGTTGGTCAAATTTAGAAGATTTTCCAAGGTATAAATAGTGAAAACTTCTCGTTATTTATCGACTCTTAGTAAGACGATAGCTGATCATGTTCTGATTGGCCTTCCAAGCGGGAGTCTTTTGCTTGCTGGGGGAAGAATATACGACTATGGTTCGATTGACCAGTTAGGAATCTGGCTTCTTCAAGATGATGTCTGGAATCAAATCGGAAATTTGCAAAACGTAAGCTTGAGAAATAATTGAGGTCAAATTTTGATTCAAGGCTCAAAAATATGGATCGGTGATAATGATTCATAATTCAATTTTCATCGTTGACGGCACTCATGATGCTTCTTCGATTGAACGTCTCGACTTCGAGGGAGATGAGCTAATCAATCATAACGTCATCGGAAAAACGATTCCAAGTATGATCCCTGTTCTTTTAGAATCGTCTTCTGGTTTCTGTGCACCGATTTAAAAGTAAAAAAAATACAAAATTTTAAACATTGATCATGCACTTTGATTTATTCAAGGTGAAAGAATGACTGTACAAATGAGAAATATATGCATTTTGAATTTATTGGAAAAAGATTATGGTTGGTAAGGTTCCGGCTTGACGCAAGGAAGTCTCATTTCGATCCTCTTGTTAGCCAAAACGACTCCGCAGTCTTCCGGTCGACAAGCGCACTCGTGGTAGCCGTCTTGGTTGAAGCAGTCTTGGATTTCGTCGCAAGCATGGTTGCCAGTGGCGCACTCGTCAATATCGATACAAGCTTGAGTTTCCTCCACGTATTCGTATCCGCAGGGGCACACACAGACAAAGGTTCCGTAGAGGTTGCAACAAGCGATGTCGGCGCCACAGATGTCAGGATCGACGTCGCACTCGTTTATGTCATCGCAGGTGTCGACACCGTCACCTAATATAAAGAATAGAAGAGAGTTTTTTTGCAAAATTTTCAGTTTAAATCGAGCTTACCTTCAAATCCATCGTTGCAAACGCAGTCAGCAGACAACATTTGTCCGAGAGCATTTTCAACTGTCTCACAGCTTGCTTCATCGTGGCAATCGCAAGGAATCTTCTCGCATTCGCCGAGAATATTTCGCTGGTACTTGTCTTTGCAGTAGCATTCTCCTTGGCGGCAGACTTCGTTTGGTCCGCAAATCGGGTCGCAGTACGGGTAGCATTCGCCGGTGAGGTAATCCTTGTAGTAGCCAGGTTTGCACTTGCACTCGCGGAAGAAGCAAGCCTGATTGCTGCCGCACTCCTCCTCGCAGCACTCGCCTTGGTAGCCCGTTCCGAAGAATGGGTCCACACAGCCGTCGCAGATGTAGCTTCCATCCGTGTTGACGCAGATTCCGTTGACATCGCAGTTGTGAGTTTCGTCCAAACACTCGTCAATGTCCTCGCATTCCAAGGGATCAGAGTTTTCAACAGCGTAGTAGCCGGGTTTGCAAACACATTCGCCGTCCACATTTCGCTGCTTTTCTGGACAGATCTTTTCGCAATCCTTTCCGTTGCCTTCGTAGCCTTCTTTGCAGAAACAGTCGAAGCTGCCTTCAGTGTTTCTACAGATGGCATTTTCATGGCAGTCGTCCAGCTCGTCACCGCACTCGTCTGTATCGCAACAAGTTTCGCCAGTTCCGTAGTAGCCTGTTTTGCACTCGCATTCGAAAGGAATTCCATCCACTGAAGGATTTTTGTCGATGCATTTGGCGTTGTTACTGCACATATTTTCCTATTCAGAGTTGAAAATTTTGCCAGAGAAACGCGGAAATCGCTAGATAAGGCGCTAAAGAGTGAGCGTTATGCGCGATGCGCGCAGCGGCATTTTCTATCTAGAAAAAAATATGCACATTCTGAATCTGAAGAACCTTGCTTTTGCCGGCATTGGCGCTTCTAGACCCCGCCGCTGCGCTAATTGCGCATAAAAACGGGCTCTCCAGCCCTTTATCTAGCGATTTCTTCGCTTTCAGACTTTTGCTTTCAAAATTTCCAACTCTGTTCCTGTTCGCATTCGTTGACATTCCCACAGGAAATCTGCCCATTTGAGAGCTGAACCGGTGCAGATCCAGAAGCACAGAGGCACTGGTAGCTTCCTTGGAGATTTTTGCATTCCATGTTGTCAGAGCAGCCGATTGTCAGGCACTCATTTACATCGACGCAAACATCGTTGATGAGTTCGTATCCATCAGCGCAGGTGCAAATGCCTTCCGGACCAGTTCCGTCGAGAATGCAAGTTTCGCCGTCAAGACAAGAAGGCTCGCAGATTGCTACTGATGGCTGGCATTCTGTGAAGCCATTTCCTTCCGTTCCTGGTGGGCATTTGCACTCGTAAAGCTCGTTGTTCGTATTCGTAATGTCGTCACAGATCGCGCTTGGGTCGCAAAGGTCAATGACGCCACATGCTGGGTCTTTGGTGCATTCGACTCCAGTGCCAGAATAGCCAGTATCGCAAGTGCAGACAAAGCTTCCTTCCAAGTTCTGACAGATCGCATTTTCATCACAATTGTGGATCTTCTTCGCGCACTCGTCGTAGTCTTCACAGACATCGTTGATATTGACGTACCCATCAGGGCAATTACAGACGTAACCGCCGAAATAATTATGGCAGACAAAAAGGTCGCCACAGACAGATTCGAGACACTCGTTGACATCTTCGCAGACTCCGTTGTTGTCGACAAATCCGCTAGCGCATTTGCACACGAACTCGTCGATCGTTTCTTCATATACGCAGACTTCAGATGGCTCACAAACAACTGGACAGGTAGCCACAACGGTCTTGGCATAGCAGAAGTAGCCATCACCGTCGTATCCTGGGGGACAAGCGCAAGAGTACTCTCCATCGAGGTTGGTACACTCAGCGAGATCGTGACATAGATGGATATTTTCGGTACATTCATCGACATCCTCACAGATTCCTGTATCAGCGTTTCTAGCGTAGCCATCTGGGCAGACGCAGATGTATGTTCCTGGAATATTGACGCACTCATCCTCAGTGAGCCAACAATCGTGCTGATCAGTGGCACATTCGTTGATGTCGAAACACTCGATCATTGGATCGCCGGCCGTATAGCCTTCTTTGCAATGGCAACTGGTGTCACCGACGCATTCAGCATTGATGCCGCAGATTGGGCATTGTGGAATGCAACAAGTTCCATCACCAGTGTATCCAGGTGGACAAGTGCAGGTAAAAGAGCCGCCAGTATTCAAGCAAATAGCGACTGGGTCACAAGGGGAGTAGGAACATTCGTTGACATCGATGCAAGCTCCATCAACGTCTACGTATCCCTCGGGACATTTGCACATGTGGCTACCGGATAAATTGATGCATTCAGCAAGAACACCGCAAACGAAAGGAGTATCACACTCGTCGATGTCTTCACATTCGCCAGTAACTGCATTTCTCGTGTAGCCGCTGATACACTCGCATCGAGTAGTAGCAGTTGACTTGCCATTTGGAAGCGAGATAAAGTCCATCACGCAGACTTCAGTTGGAGAGCAAGCTGGGCATTCTGGAAGACAGTCGAAACCATTACCAATGTAGCCATTGGTACAGCGACATTCGAAGGATCCTTCGGTATCGAAGCAATCCGCATCGATGTGGCAGAGATCATTAGTGATAGTACATTCGTCGACGTTGACACATTGGCCATCATCGAACTCGTATCCTTCAGGACATTCACAGTGAAAACTTCCTATTGTGTTGATACAGAGGGATTGAGAGCAAAGCGTGATATCGTCCGTACACTCATCAATATCCTCGCATTCGACTGGATCAGATCCGGCAATGAGCTTATATCCAGTTTGGCAGACACATTCGACATCTGATTTGCCAGCTTGAAGAGTGCAATACGTATTTGGTCCACAAGAATCGTCCATTGTTGGTGAGCATTCAGGGAAGCAGAAGCAGCCGTCTCCATGGAAGCCGGAATTACATTTGCATTCCCAAGAGCCGATTGTATTGATACAATCAGCGTTTGCATCGCAATTATGTAAATCAAGATCGCACTCGTCAACATCATCGCAGAGCCAAGAAGTGGTGTTCCTTTCGTAGCCTTGTGGACATTCGCAGGTGTAGCTTCCGTAAGTATTGACGCAGATTTCGACGGGCGACTGAAGATGGCAAACATGTACTGTATCATCTTCGCATTCGTTGATATCGATACAGTCAACCAAAGGATCGCCAGTTGTTCCCGATGGACATTCGCAAAATGGCTCGTTGGTGTTATCATAGACGCAGAAAGCATTTCCAGCGCATGGTGGGCAGATCTTTGTGCATTTGAATCCATCACCGAAGTAGTCCGCTGGACATGAACAGGTATAAGAGCCGATCGTATTGTCGCAAATTCCAACATCGCTGTCACAAAGATGTGTCTTATCATTGCATTCGTGGATGTCAAGGCAAGCATCATTGACAAGTTGATAGCCTTCAGGACAATAACAGTAATCACCATTTCCAATGAGATCCGCATCTCGGTTAGCAACTTGTGAACATTCGCAATCATAGCTTCCGATTGTGTTGACGCAGTCAGCATTTGTATCGCATTTGTGAGTTTGGTCATCACACTCATTTATGTCGATACAAATATCACTAGTTCCCGCTTGATGTTCATATCCAGCTGGGCATTCGCAAATAAATGAGCCGATTGTATTGACGCACTCGGATTTTATCGCGTCGCAGTTGTTCAGAGTCTCATCTTCGCACTCATTGATATCAATGCAAATGTCGTTTTCCATGAAGAATCCATCCTTGCACTTGCAGTATGCTTGTCTTGATGAAGGATCAATGAAGCAGTATCCGAAAGTGCCACAGTCAGGTGGGCAAATTTCGTGACAGAATTTACCATCTCCCTCCCAACCGGTTTCGCAGGTACAAGTGTGAGAGCCTTGGAGATTATCACAGATAGCATGTGAGTCGCATTCGTGAAGTTCTTGGTCTGCGCATTCATTAATGTCAATGCACACTCGAGAGCCGTCAGGTTCGTAGCCATTTCGACAGACGCAGTTGTAATCACCGTCGCAGTTTCGACACTCTTCTGTGATCGGATTGCAGGAGCTTGTTCCAGTAGTGCATTCGTTGATGTCAATGCAGTTTCCGGGATTGGCAGGGTCAAACTCATAGCCTGGTAGACAAGTACACGCTCTTGAATTCAATGGAGCGTCTATATCGCAATCAGTATTAACGCCGCATGTGGAGCAATCCGGAATGCATTCGAATCCGGAAAGAATGAATCCAGCGTGGCAACCACATTCATATCCTCTGTTGAGAGTGAGATCGTAAAGTGTGTTAAGGCAGTCAGCATTGTTATCGCAGAGATGAGTCTGATCAGTACACTCGTCGACATCTTCGCAATCACCAGCAGCGTTTCTGAAGTAGCCGATGTCACATTCGCATCGAACGCTTCCGATAGTGTTAACACATGACTCGTTTGGCAAAGTACACGTGAATGGAGGATTATCGGTACATTCATTCACATCGACACAGGTAAGATTAGTCGGCCAAATGCCAAGAGAGGCAAAGCCTGTGTCACAGATGCAACCCATGTTTCCACTTGCCAGCATACCGCAATGGGCGTCTTCTGGGCAAGAATCAGGGCAGTCCAAGCAGGTGTAACTTCCATCTACGTCGAGACAAGCTTCCTCACAGATGGATGCATCTGTACATTCATTGACATCGATGCAATCAAGTTTCTGTTGAGCCCTTTTAGCATCCGGAGAAAGAGCATCTCCATCTTCATAGCCAGGTAGACATTCACAGTCAGCAAATCCGCTCGTTTCGTTGACAAGGCACATGGTGTTAAAGCCGCAAAGATCGCACTCGAGAGCGCAGGGAAGCTCTGTTTCATTGAAGCAATTTCTGCCGTTTCCGAAAACAGTCGTATCAGGAGGACACTCGCACTCGTATGATCCTACAGTGTTGGTACATGTTGCGCGGATGTGGCAGTCGTGTACATCAATTGAATCTTCGCACTCATTAATGTCAACACATTCATCAGTTGTTGAGTTATATCTGTAACCGGTGTTACAAATGCATGTGAAAGATCCTGCCGTATTGTAGCACTCTTCATTGTTGCCACAAGGGTCGGCAAGAACGCCATCGGTACATTCATTTGTATCTTCGCATAAGTCACCATTAGGGATCAAACCAATGTCACACTCGCATTCGAGCGCGGTTTTTGCTGGATTGACAAGGCAATGTTGAGTCTGGTGGCAAAGTGGATCACATTCAATTACGACCCAATCGCAGTCGACACCGTTCCATTCGTATCCATAGGGACAATGGCAATCGTAGCTTCCCATAGTGTTCATACATTCCATGGTCAAATCTGGCTCGCCAGTGATACTTGCCGGAACGATGATTGATGAACAAGTGTGAGTACTCTCCTCACACTCATGAATATCAATGCATGTTGAATTTGTCGCATCTTCCCATTTATATCCAACATCGCATTCACAAGCCGGCCTGTTATCTGTAATAATGCAATGAGAATTCTCAATGGCGCCACACTCTGCTTCGCAATCGACCTCGTAGCACATTTTTCCATTTCCAGCGAAATTGCCAGTTGCGCACTCGCACTCGTAAGAGCCAATCGTGTCAACGCAAGAAGCATTCGGATCGCAAACGAAAAGACCTTCGTCGCACTCGTTAATATTAATGCATTGTTCTGATTTGTCATCAATAGTATTGTCTCTTCTGTATCCCTCTGGACAGCAGCAAGAATATGAGCCGATCGTGTTGTGACATTTTCGATCAAGGAAAAGACCAGGATCATTCGGATCAACTTGGACAGAACCGCAACCACCATTGTTTGTATTGCACTCGTTGATATCCACGCATTCGAGAGGATCGTTCAAAGCGGGCTCAAATCCTGGCCAACATTCACAGCTTGGCTCTCGTTTGCCATTGACAACGTTGTAGACACAATTTGAGTTGACGCAAACTGGACATTCTGGAATGCAGACAAAGCCATTGCCCATGAAGCCAGTGTCACATTGACAGGTATACGAGCCGACTGTATTCGTGCATATTCCATTTGTATGACAAAGATTTGTGTCGATCAAAGGATCACATTCGTCAATGTCTTCGCATTGATTGAGGACATCATTGTAGGTGTATCCGTCTGGACAGCGACATTCATACGAGCCAATGGTATTGTAGCATTCCATCGGGCCAACAACGCCAGTACAGATGTGAGTATTTGTAGAACACTCATTAACGTCCTCGCAGCCCAAAGTATCATCAGTTGCATCTTTTCGCTGAAATCCGCTTGGACAATTGCATTCGCCAGACATCGAAATAGCATTCGTCTCGCAAGTCATCAATGGACCACATCGTCCATGGCAATCGCAATGCACGATATTCTCGCAATGATAATATGAAATTGGTTGATTCGCTGCATCGGTGTCAACAGCCGAGTCATAATTAACACACTTTTGGGTCAATGCATCGCAACTATGAGTAGATCCGGCACATTCGTCGATGTCAACGCAGGTTGGCGTCTTTCCATCGGCACTCCAGCTGATCTCATGGCCATCATGGCTACATTCGCAGTTGAAACCGCCATAAACGTTCTCACAGAGAAGCCCATTTTCCGAGCAAATGTTCGAAACAGAGCATTCGTCGAAATCTTTGCATGTTCGACCTGTTGCATCTGCTGGATCCGGTTCGAAACCGTCATCGCAGCTGCAGGTGAGATCAACAACTAGTCCAGTTCCAGCGTCAACTTCTGTCGTGCAATATTGGTGTGCGCCACAGACTCCGCAGGACATTGTACAGCGGTAATATGCTCCATCTGTCACGCAGAATTCATTCAAAATATCATGACCGACCATACAAGAGTGGAGATTATCAGCACAGTGATCGATCGACACGCAGCCAGCTCCGTCGTTAAAGTCTTTGAAGAGATGTTCAAGCTCGTCAGGAAGTTGTCCACAGAAGCAATGATATGATCCATCAGTATTGTAGCAAAGATCATTAACTCCACAACTATTCGTAGCTGGAGCTCCAGGAGACGAAGGATCACATTCGTTGATATCGATACAACCAGAACCTGGGTTAAAATATCCCTCATCGCAGATACAAGTGCCGGGCCGATTCCATTTTGACTGATCTTGAGAGCAGTGAGAATTCGGACCGCAGAAAATGCAGTCTTCGCAGAAGTCTTCTTCTTCGCATGTATACGATCCAATTGTGTTGACGCAGGTTTCTCGAGTGATTGAGGTGTCCGATGGATCATGCGTTCCAATATCGCATTGATGAAGTATCGAAATGTAGGCTTCACAATTTGCTGGGCAAAACTCTCCCCCATTGACGTATGTTACTGAGAGAACGCTTTGTGCTGTACCAGTGCTTGCATCGTGAACAGTTGTTTGCTTGCATAAACATGACGTCATTCCGCATTCGTCAATATCGATGCATTTCTGCGTTGCTTCATCCAAGTAGAATCCAGTATCGCAGACGCATTTGAATGAGCCAACAGTATTGAGACATTTTTCTGTATAAACAAGTTGCTCAACATTCTCTTCCGGGATGGCAAGAGCTCGAGTTTGTTCTTCGAACTTGACACAGTCCCATGAAGCGTCAATGTAAGGCTTGACATCATTCGAGCATCGTTCGGGAAGAGCTTGAGTACTGAAAACACAATCTTCTTTTCCATTGCAGCTCGAAGTCATAATTTCGAAAAGGTCCAAGTTCTCTTCCTCTGGACACGAGCCACATCCCTTTTTCGCGTAGCAGCATGCTTCACTATCGATTCTGCCGAACATGGCGCTAGTGATTTCGATTTCAGTTCCAGCAGGACATTTGAGAACAATATCTGGATTTTTCTTGTTGAAGCACATCGAGCCATCATTTGTTGGCGATTTGTCTTCGAGCTTTTTACTCTCGACGATTTCTTTGATTGTCGATCTTTCTGTTCTTGATCCAGAAGGATAGAGCATGTCACATTGACTCGTAGCAGAGCTGAGACACTCATCAATATCGATACAGTCGCCGTTAGCGTCTTCTTTGAAGCCAGTTTTGCACCGGCACTCGTGAGTGTAGACAGTTTCCCATCTTGAGCTCGATTTTACTTTTTGAACACACTCGCTGTTTGGTTTTGTCGATGGGCAATCTTCGCAAGCACTGCATGAGCACAAGAAGGAGCCATCTTTATTGGTGCAGAGGGAGCTGTCAGGGCAAGCATTGAGGGCATTATCATTGCATTCGTTGATGTCAAGGCAGACAACGGAACTTCTGTCGTTAACACCAGCTGCGAAGGTGGCGGCGAAACCATCATCGCAGTCGCATACATATGAGCCTGGAGTGTTTTCACAAATAGTTGGATCGAGTGGATTGTTGTCGTAAGTGTTGGTGAACACATTTGTTCCGCATTTAGCAACAGTCTCCGTACACTCATCAATATCAACGCAGATAGCAAGGCTCGCTGTTTCGGCATCAGTATTTGTGAAGAAATCACAATTGCAAGTTGCACCTGATCCAGTATCCTCCTTGAAGCAAATATCAACCAAGTTCTCACAGTAGTCCTCAAGTGTATCATCAGTATTTTGACAGTAACAAGGGTCAGCTGGATCCAAACTTGTCGGATCAAAAGTCAAGTCGATCATTCGATAGCCAGAGTCACATTCGCAAACTGGTCTCAGCGAACTCTCAGTTCCTGATTCGCCTTCTTCAAGAACTTTAAGTTTGCATTCGGAATTGACACACTCGCGCCAGTACTCGCCGTTGCCGATTGATTGGTCGCATTCCCAGATGCACTCGTATGATCCAACAGTGTTAATGCAGTGGTTTTCGGTGGAACAAGAATGAATGTTCGCGGAACACTCATTTATATCAATACAATGGATTCCAAGAACATCATTGCCCGGTGAGCTCCCGCCCGAGTGGATCATTTCGAATCCAAGGGGACAGTCACACCAGTAGCCGCCATCAGTATTGTGGCAGACAAGAGTCTCAGAAGTCGTGGCAAACATGGTGCCACCAGTGCCAGAAACGCTAGCGTCTATAAGAGAAGAGCCGCAGACAGAAGGATTATCAGTACACTCATCGACATCTTCGCATTTGAACTGGAATGTTGTGCCATCAGGAACGACAAGATATCCATTTTCCGCGCATTTACATTCCTCGGTACCAGTTGTCAAGTCGAAATCGCACCAGACACCGTTAATAGGAGCAAAGAAGGTTCCCGCCGTTGTGCCATCTCCATTGCAAGACTCTTTATTACATCCCCATGTACACTCATACGGATTGCCGCTTCCGGATACGTTTTCAGTGCAGTGAGAAGATGTGTAGCACTGATGAGCTCCAGAAGCCGGTGGGTCGATGCTGCACTCATCGATGACTAGGCACACGATCGGTCGCACGGGATCTCCGTTTGCATCCAGTTGGACTTCGGAGCCATGAGGGCAGTAGCAATAGTATGATCCGTCAGTATCGACGCAAAGGGGAGTGTCATGATCAGTCGTTCCCGTGCCGCAGATATTGTCAGTTCGATCGCACTCATCAATGTTGATGCAGTTGATAGTCTGGGGGACGTCTAAGTCATAACTAGTGTCTTCGTAGCCAACTGGGCAGGAGCAAATTTGCTGACCATAACGATTTTCTAGAGCTGCGTCGTATCTCGGATCACCAGCACCGATGTCTTCATGTTTTAGATTGACTCTTGAGCAGAGGGCATTTGGGTCTGAGCAAAAATCTGCCTCACAATCCCAGTTACAAGTAAAGGTTCCTGATGTATCGTCAGTGCAATCAGCTGTCAAGTAGCACGAATGCATTTCATACCCGAGAACGAAGTTGCCTGGAGGATCTGGACGAGTGAGAGTGGTGGAGCATTCGTTGATGTTGACACATTCACAGTTTGTTCGATCCGGGTCAGTTGCATTGCAAGCAGCATCATCAAGCAAATATCCGTTTGGACAATAGCAATCGTATGAGCCAACAGTATTTTCGCAAATTGAGCTCACATGACATTTATGGATGGTGTTTGGATCCGTAGATAAACATTCATTTATATCGTAGCATTCATAGTAAGGATCGGCAAGAGGGTCGGCAACTGTGTTCGTGACAGTATCGAAACCGTCGAGACAGGAACAAGCTTCATCTCCTGTCGAAGTATCAATGTAGCAGGTACTTGTGGTAAGATCGCATGTATCGGCGCCCCCATTAGCGCACTCAGAAGTACAGGTGAACGATCCGACAGTGTTGACACAAACTGCTCCTCCATCACAAGCACTTTTGGTGCGTCGCATTCATTGATGTCTTCGCAGACGATCAAGTCAGGATCAGTTTCCGTTGGATTGGCTTTTTGATAACCGTGCGCGCAGACTGTCGTGTATGAGCCGAAAGTGTTGACGCACTGGATCAAGCTGTTGGTCGTGTCGTAGGCTGGGCAATTGAAGTAATCTTGGTAAGTGATCGCGACGTTTTGGCAATCGTTAGTGACCAGCTCGTCGCATTCGTCGATGTCTTCACAGCTGATTCCATCAACAGAGTCGTCTGTATCCCGGAAGCCGTACATACAAAGATTGTAAGGAGAAATCGGGTATTCTTCTGGGCTGCCATCGTAGAGTCGCTGGCCCATTCCCGGGAAATGAGATTGTTTGGCCTTCGTTTTTGCATTTCGCTGTATTTGGTCAAGTTTCCTTTGAAATTATCGTTGTTTGTGAGGCAGATTTGCTGCGCCCTTGGGTCGGCATATGGAATCGTTCCATTGAAATTAGTCGGGTTGTTTTGGAAACTTCCGCAAAGTCGAGGCATGCATTCTTTTGGGTAGCAGTTTTCCTGGAGATAATCGATCGTGTTTTCTTTACACTCTCCGTTGGGATCGAACCAGCATCGGAAAGACTCGTCGTAGACCTTGGCACAGTCCAATGGATCGGGAGGACCAGTGCAGTCGTCAATAGTCGAGCAAATTCCATCTACGGCATCGCATGTGTGGAAGTCAGGACAAACGCAGCCAGGCTCTGTTTTTTGGATAAACTCTTTTTTATTTAATTTATTCAAAAAACAGCCCAAAAAAGGGAAAAATTAAAAAAAGAACGGACTTGAAAAAAATGAAAAAAAATGCCCAAAAAAGGGAAAATGAACGGAAAAAAAAAACCAAAAAAGGACGAAAAAAAAAACAAAAAAAAAAATCTTTTTTTTTTCCTGAAGCAACCAAGAACCATCAGAGAAGCGTTTTCGTATGGTCCATTTTTTTCAAGAGCCATTTCAGGAGAGAAAGAGCATCCAAACAGAACTCAGGATTCCTGAGTCAGGCACACTTAATCCACCATCCAAGCATAAGTCAGGAATCCTGAGTTAGCCACACAATCCAACGGAACACTCAGGGTTCTTGAGTCAGGCCAACAGAATCCAACATTTGAGGAAACTCAGGAGTCCAAAGTCAGGCACGCAGGATCCAAAATTTTTGTTGCCTGTCATCAGTCGATTTTCCATTTGTTCTCTTTGTCTCTCTTTCTTCGTTCTGAAAGCAAAATTTGAGCATAAAACTCGAACATTTTACATTTGAAAAAAAAAATTATTTTAACGAGATATTGCTCAAATCTCAAATGAAGAACCGCGTTTCTTTCTCTCCGAAGAAGATCCGAATTCGCGATTTTGATCTCCGGCAATTTTTATCAAAACGCGTTTTCTGTGTAAAAACGCTCAGATTCTTGAAATGCCCGAGATTTTTCTCGAAAGCGTTCTTTTACGTCCTCATAATTTAATGAAGAGGATGTTTGATGCTGTCAATTTCCACGTGATCGGTTCAAAAGTGCCTCAGGCATGTTCCCAATCAAGGCTCAGCCGCTAAGTCTGATGAGGTCATGATTTATTGCCCCTTTTAGAACTGACGCGGGGCCTATTTCAGAGAAGCTAAATATACAAACAGAACTTACTTGATTACTTACCTTTACTCGTCAAATAGAAAGAGCAAATGACCAGAAGGGATGAAAACTGACCTTTCAATCATGACTCTCTTCTACTCGCTTATTTTGCTTTTTGCCGTTTCGGGATCGAGAGCGCAGGAAACTAACTACGATTACAATTTCAACCCGGACGAAAGTTACGATCCTGGAGAGCCTCAAGATCCTACTGTAAGTCGATTTTATCTTTAAAAAAAACTTTTCAAAAAAAATTTCAGGAAAAAGACCCTAGTATAATTTATACCCTTCCGTTTTTTCCCCTGCCAATCAGAATTCTCTATTTTCTCTGTTGACCAATCAGAAGCCATTATTCTTTGGTCTCTTATAAGAGCCTTACACTTTCTTCAAAGACCTAAGTATAATGGCCTGATTGGTCAAAAAGGAAAATAGAGAATTTTGATTGGTTGAAATGCCACGAAGATCGAAAGAGGAAATTGCCTTATACACCCTTAATTGTTTCCCTTTCTGATTTCTTTTAGGTTTACGATTCAGAAGAAAGCTCCCCAGAATCATATTCTTACCTTGATGTCAGTTCTGATAGCTCATCCTCAGAATCAGACGATTATGACTACACAGGTTTTTTTCAAATTCTTCTGCTCAAAAATATGTCGTTTTAGATTCATCTGGAGACCAAAGTATTCTTAGCCCTGAAGAATCCTACGATCAAATCGTTGAATCTTTGTAAGAAACGACTTCACGATGTCAAAAAAATCATTTTTAGGAACACGACAACGACGGAATATCAAGATGATGGATTTTTCGGCGATAAATTTATTCAAATCGCCATTTGCGTTGGCACTGTTTTCGGAGGTAGAGGATCATTTTGCCATTTTTGATCATTTTTTAGTAACTCTTGCCGTCATTTTCGTCTATTTCATCGTCCGCACCGTCCAAAGTGACGACAAGAAATGCGAAGAAGTCCTCAACGAGTACAACAACAATAACCAAGACGACCCCGAAAATCCTCCTGAACCTCAAGAAGAGGAGAGCCCTCGAGAAGCCAATTCCGAAACGAAAATCGACGACCCTTTGCTGAAAAATTCTGAAAGTGCTCCGAAAAATCCTTTTGGTGATAGCAAAGAAGACCTGCTAGAAACATGAATTTTCTTTATACAAACAAATTTCAAATAAAAGAAGCGAAAAATCTTTCTCTTTAATTTTCTCTTAGCATTTCTAGAGATGCTTACGTAATAAAAATTTTATTTTGATAAGAAAATCAGGAGCTATTGGCTCTTTAGTTTTAAAAAAATGGACAAAATATTTTGACTCGAAAAATAATTTCCAGGAAATTGACAAAAAGAGACTCATCAATTTTATTTTTCGAGAAAAAATTACCAATATAGCCTATATTATATAGGGTGTTTTTAATTAAAAAATTGCCAAAAAACTGGGATAAATGAAGCTTTTTTCCGTCATTTTGGCAGCTTCTGATCCAGTTTTGACCAGAAATAACATCAGAAAATCAAGGCGTGGCATCACATGATGTCTTCATAAAATCGCGAAAACGCCCAAGTTCATAGATGAGCGGAACCTGCTAACCTAATTGTGATTATTAACTCGCATCGGAGCTTTGATCTTAAAATAACCACATTTATGTCAGTCGAGTAAGCAATTATACGAGGTATCGGGCGTGTCTAGATTTGTCCTGCCAAGTGAAGATCTGACGATTTTCCCCCGGCATTTACGATTCATTATTACCAGCACACAGATAAGAAAGGAAAATTAACGAGAAAATGACGGAAAAGAAAAAGGAGATAAAACAACAACGATGGGGAAATCAAATCGAGTATTTTCTCGCACTCGCCGGAGGCGCAATCGGGCTCGGGAACGTCTGGCGATTTCCGTTTTCGGGTCGAAAATCGTCTTTTTGGATCATTTTATGCAGTTTTAGGGCTCAAACTGGCCATTTTGTTGAAAATAATTTTTGACCCGAAATTAAGTACCTTTGTTATAAAAACGGAGGCGGCGCCTTTCTCATCCCTTATTTCACCTTCATGTTCTTGGGCGGGGTGCCCATGTTCTTGATGGAATCAGCACTCGGCCAGTTCATGCAATCCGCAGGCATGGCAGCTTGGAACATAATTCCAGCCTTCAAAGGCGTTGGCTGGTGCTCTTGTGTGATCATTTTTGGCTCAATTGTTATTACATTGTTATCCTTGGTAAGTTTTTTCTTCAATTTTGAAGATTTATTTTATTCATGGAGAAAAATTTTTTTTAATTCAAAAATTTCAAAAAAAGAAATTTTTTTTTATTATTCATTTTATTCTTCTTCATTAATCCTATCTAAGGATGGGCGCTTTTCTACCTGTTCAACAGTTTCATCTCGCCTCTTCCCTGGACAACATGCGGCAACGCCTGGAACTCCGACTGCTGCACCACCAACATTCAAACTAGCGACAACGGTTCGAGCTTTCTCGTCAAGCCAGCCAACTGCAGCGAAAACGTCACCTACCCCGAGTTAGAATTCTGGAAGCGGAGAAGTCTTCAAGTTCATGAGTCGCCCGGGATCGATGATTTGGGAGAAATGCGATGGGAGCTCATTGGACTCGTTTTTCTCGCCTGGGTGATCACCTTTTTCTGCATTTTTCGGGGAACGAAGAGTACTGGAAAGTCGGTTTATGTGACTTCTACGTTTCCATTGGTGATGATGATTATTTTGATCATAAGAGGAGTCACGCTCGATGGCGCCATGCAAGGGATTGAGTTCTATCTCAAGGTAGGTCATAAGAGCCTTAAAAACCAGCAAAAAATAGACAATTTCATAATTTTGAAAACTTTCCATTGCTCAACCGGAAAGACCGCTTATCATAAACGATGGTTCGATGGCCGTAAAAATTGATCTTATAATTGACGATTTTCACGATTTTCCTTTTTTACGATTGTCGGTTTTCCTGAAGTGACTATTTTTGATGAAGTTTCTTTCAGCCGGATTTCTCGAAGCTCAATTCGATTGATGTTTGGATCGATGCTGGTACTCAGGTCTTTTTCAGCTTCATGATTGGCTTCGGGAGTTGCACTGCGATGGCGTCTTATAATGACTTTCAGTACAATAGCTTCAAGTGGTCCATTATTCTTTGCATCTTGAACGGTAAGTCTTTTCAAAAAAAAAAGAGAACCGCAACTTTTCTAGCTTCGGCATCATTTTTCTCCGGTTTCGCGATCTTCTCTATTTTGGGCTACATGTCGAAACAGACGGGAATCGGCGTCGCAGACATTGCTGAAAGTGGACCTGGCTTGGCCTTCATCGTTTATCCTCGAGCAGTGAGCTTGATGGCGGGATCGAATTTCTGGGCGGTCTTGTTTTTTGGCATGTTGTTGATGCTCGGCCTCGCTAGCCAGTAAGTAGCTTCTTTGATGTTCAAAGACACATTCTCCTAGCTACATTGGAGTCGATGGAATGGTCGCTATGCTTGCTGATATCTACCCAAGCGTCTTCAAAACCTCGAAAAAGGGTCGACCAATTCTTGTCGCCGCGATTTCCATCATCTGCTTTCTCATTGGAATTCCCATGCTGACCCAAGTATTTTTCCACCGCTCTTCTTTCCTCATCCTTTTCAGGGAGGAATCTACGTCTTCCAATTATTCGACAAATACGGCGCTTCCGGAATGGCAGTTCTTTGGTTTTCCTACTTCTCTTCCACCGCCATTTCTTGGTTTCATGGAATTGGACCGTTTTATCAAAAACTCGATAAAATGTACAAAAAGGTCGGTCCGAAAATAGAAGGAAAAGGGTCAATTTTGCTTCAGGAAATTAATGTTTTCGCCTTCCCATGGACGATGTTTGGCTTTGTGTTGAAATACTTGACTCCTTTGGTTTGCGCTTTGGTCTTTTTCGGAAAACTTTCGGATATGGGAAGAACGACGTATGACAAAGTCTACGAATACCCTGCTTGGGCCGATGCTATCGGCGTTTTTATGGCTCTCACGAGGTAATAATTGATGAAAACAAAACAATCAGCAGTTCTTTAGCATGATTTGCGTGCCGCTCGTCCTCGGATACGAACTGTGCAACGCCACTGGAGAAACTTTGAAAGAAAAATGGCAATTTGCACTAAAAGAACGGCTTCCAGAGCAAACTCTAAAAGCTCTATCGAAAATCGAAGAAGAAGATCGGGAAGAATCAGAAAACAGCAATTCTGCAATAATAAAACCAGCGCTTGATTCAAAGACTGATTTTATTAATTGATCGAAAAAACTGCTCTTCATTCGAAAAAGCGCTGTTCATAGTTTATATAAGAAGTAAATAAATAAAATTTTTTCAAAAAAATTTTCAGATTTATTTTTTCAAGCGAATGAATCAATGCATGTCTCGATATTTGAGCATTCTCGGCTGCAATTCCGTCGGTCTTTCATGAAGTGGGACAATGAAATTCGCCAAATTCTAGAGTTGATGTTAAAAAACGATTTTTCTAGCAATATTCAGACCTGATTCAAAGTTGCCATGTATCTCATTCCATCCATCATCAATTGAATTTTGAACTTTCTTCTTTTGATCGTTGTTTGATATTCTTCGTCTAGAAACTCTTCATCGTCATTTTCAACTTTTTCTTTGTCCAATTCGGCGCATGCTTCCTTGATCATTTCAGCAATTTGATTGAAATTGTCGGCAACTCGCTCGATGAGCTCTCCGAATTGAATTACAGTCGGCTCGTTTTCTTGCCAGTCGTAATATTCGTGCTTGAAGTTGATATCCGCGAGCAAATCTAGAATTGTTTTACTTTTTTGGGAGCTTCTAGCAAGTACCTTCTGGATTGATGAATCGTCGATTTTGAGACTCCCACTGCGCTTGTTCTGGATTTTTGAAATTTTCAAAGCATTCAACCACATTTTGGTAGAGAGCGTAGCAAAGAATGAATTTTCGTTTGACGAGAGTAAAGTCCATCAAGCTTCGCTCTCTTTCAGACGCTTCAGAAGTCACTTTTTGTCTTTGATTTTGTTCAATACCGATGAAAGTAGGATGAAATTAGCGACACCGTGCGAGCAAATTCGCTTTTTCAAGCAGGTCGGAGGACCCCGCCTGCTGGAAGACTTCCTCTGTATGAGAAGAAATCTCTTCTCACTGAAATCTTTCATTTTTTAATATTTTATGAAAATAGTTGTGATTGAACAAGTTCCTGGTTGTTAGATAAATATTCAAAGCCGGAGCTCCTGCGTAAAGAAAATTTTTCTTTCTTTCAAAAAGCTCTTCTTCTGAAATTGTTTGAGGTCTTTGATCAGCGGTCTCTTCGTACTCCTTGAATCGGCTTTCAAGATGCGGCTCGATGAAATTTTTTAGATGTGTTTGCAAAATGTCTCTGAAACAACGGTGAGAAGGGGGATATTGAGGGAAGAGAGGGTACCTGTACTTCGCTGGAGTGGCGACGAAAAAGCCGTTGTGGATGAATCTTTGTTCATATGGATCTAAGGCGGCGTGGAAAACATCAGGAGTATTGGCGGTTCTGAAATTTTAGATCAATTTGAAATTTACCTTATTTATAGTATTAAAAAAATTTTCAATTAAAAATGCCTTACTTGTGATGAATCATGTCCTGAAATCCGGCAAAATTGTCATCTTCGCTTACATTCAGCACAAATCGATAATCCGGTATTTTTGCGAAATCGCAAATAACATAAATCGGAATCATAATTTTATCATATTCTTCATCATCAAAATATCGTCGATTTTCTCGATTCTCTGTCATTTCAGGACAGCTTTTGTCTCTCTATTGAATTTCCTTTTTCAAGATGGAGAAAAGGCAAAAAGGGAAAAATAAAAAAGGGAAAGGATAAAGACCAGAGTTGTAACAGAAGCCGTTTTTACGTTATTTACTCAAAATCGACTATTTGCTCGATTACACTAGAAAAAGTGAGAGTCTTCTCTCACTCATCTCGATTTATCAAAGTCGATTTTTTAAATGAATAAGACCGAGAATCAATCGTAAATGGTTGCCATGAGTCAGAAGGGTCACACTAAACCAAGTCATAAAAACAATGAATGGATAACAAAAACAAGGAACTTTATTCATCAGTTCAAATATTTGATTTTACACGTTGACAACACCATTCTTGAAATTCTTGTTTCGCTTTAATCGGAGTAAATAGGAGAATCTTTTGGAAAGATCTGAGTCTTTCAAACACTCATTCTTATTTATAACGGTGTCGCCATCCTATTTACTCTGTCTTTTCATTATCGTTCAAATCCGGCGAAACAAACTCTTCGACAGTTATGTCCGAAACGATTGGCCCACTGATGAATACAGTAGATTCTTGAGCGAAAAGAAATAGTAGTGTACCTGATCTTGTTATCATCAAAGTCGGAAAAATTCGGACCAAGGACAAATTCCTTCATCTTTTCTCAGGATAAAAAATGAAAAGCTTGCGTCTTCTGGGAACAAACCGCGCCGCGGTTTCTTATTTATCAATAAAGAAATTATCCAAATCATAATTTTTAATTCGATTAATTTGAAAATTTGTTATTTTATCCTGCCTTTTGGAGTCTTCCCTTTATATTGCATTCTACCAGGAATCGTTTGGTCCTGAATTTTTTAAACAACGAATCAGGGGAGAAGAATCGTACCTCTGGCAGAAATCGATGATAATTTGCAAGATTTTCACGACGCTAAGCCCTAGAATCAACCCTAAAGAGCCGCCAATATCAGCAAGCATAGCATTGAAGGTGTAAACTGCTTGTTCTTTTTTGACTGTAACTCGTTCTGAAAAAAGGAGCTTTCAAAATTTTCATAAGAGATGAAATTCCTACCAGCGGTGGTTCTCAAAACCCCAGTCATGTAGTAAAATTCTTCGGTTTCTGACGCAGAGGGAGCGATTCGGTACTAAAAAGCTTCAGAAATATTTTTAGGGGAAATTTTTTCGAAAATTTTTTTTTGGAAATTTTATGAAGAATCTTTTTCCTGGATGTTTTCTTGATGAAATTCGTAGCTCTGGCATGCCGGTTTGCAGGAAACGGTATTTTTCGTCAATCCTAGATTTCGGGAAAAATTGGGAAAAGGAACATTTTCCTACCTTTTCGCTCGATCACGTGAGCGACGCATTTGACCTGGTCGTAGAAATTGCATTTTCGAACTTCTGGCTTGTCCCTTGAATAGCTGTGATATTTGATTTTTCGAAAAAAGGGCGTACACGATGAGAAAATTATGAAGATAGTCGGGTCTGCAGTTGCACAGCGCCACCACCTGGTCGATGAGCTGTCGCATCTCGCAAGTGCTCTTCTTGTAAATATCCTTTTTGCTGTTTTTAAAGTGCATTATTCTGAATAATTTATTCAGCATTGAAAACAGGGTCTGAAACGCTCCCTGTTGTCGATAAATCTTGTATTTTCCCTCCAAATGAGACTTGTTGCACGCTCGGTATGGTTTTCCAAGATAAATATTTTTCACCAATTTGAAATTCACAATCGGAGTCAGTTGCGAGCTAAATTTTGATGCAAATTTTTCACTAAAAAGCTCGTTTTTGAATCAAAAAAATGCCTAAGAGAAATCGCTTTTGATTCTTCTTCCACTTTATCCTGGGCTCAGCATTTTGACCTGAGTAAAAAACTGACTCAGGACCTGTTTCCTGAGTTTTCGCACCTATTTGAGGAAAAATTATCCTAGAATTCTAGATCTTAGATGTTCTAGATCTAGATCTTCTGATCCTTTCTCCTAACCCTGACTCAGGGTCCCTGAGTATGACCTCCAGCCTGAGTCAGGTTGCCGAGCCCAGACTTGATCTGTATAATAATTGTAATACAAATGGATCCCAAGCATTTGCCCATACCAGCCATAAGTCGAATCAGATTTATTCAACCCTGAAAATTAGCGATTTCTTCGTCTATTTTCTTACCGATGACGAAGCCCAGGTTATGTTCGGAAGAATTAAGATCAATCCTCGAAAGATGTAAGAAATGCTCGCCCTCCACTTCATGGTACAAGTCGAACTCTTCCAATGAGTGTTTTTCTTACATTCATTTTCCCTCTTTTTCCTATAAAAACACCCCCGTTTCCTAGGCAAATGCCAAGCTTAGTCTTTCGCTGCTTCCAAATATGCGTGCAGTTCAAACTGTCAAACAAGCAATGAAAAATTTTCACATCGGGCATCGTTCTTCGAAAAAACTCGTCGAGGTCGATTTTGTTGAATTCGTCCCACGAGTTTTTGTCCCAATTCAATGTCGGGTCGGCCGAACCGTAGAAGGCGCGGAGGATGGTGGTGTTGATCTGGGGGTAGTACTTTTGCAGCTTCCACATTGAATGCATTTGGTAGGAGCACAGGGCGATTTTGGGAAAGGTGGAGACAGCGTCATCTTCGCGCTGGGTGAAAATGGACGGGTAGTCGTGGTATTTTTTCTAGAGATAGACACATATTTTTTGAGTATTAAGCATAAGTCTGTGAATAATGAAGCAAACACAGAGTTTCATTAATCGAATTAGACTTGAGCGGATAAACATAAGGTAATCTTTAATGGTAACCATAGCTGGCTCGTAATCTGTCCAGTACACTGACAATTCCATACATGTTCTTCGAGGACTCCGTCAACACTTTCATCAAAAAATCGAAAAGTTCAAAACAGCCAAATTTTGTCATCTTCTTGTGCCTGGGAGTGTAATTCATCAGAATAACTTGTCCGGAGCCATTTTGTCCGATAAAAATCAAAAAATTAAGCAAAATTGGCACTGTTTCGTCAAAAAAGTCGAATTTTTAAATGCGATTTGAATATGTTAGAGTCTGGGGACGGTCGGACTCATTACCAAAATTTTTAGTAGCCCATTATAAAATTTTTGGTCGTCCATTATCAATTAATTTTTTCTTTTCGCCAAGTTAATAAATAAAACACCCCGAAAGTTTTCTATTATATAGGCGCGGAGCGCACACTCGCTCTTTGAATTAAAAATGTCGACACTTTTTTGACGAATTTGGTTATGCATTACCAAAATTGGTAATGGGTTACCAAAATTGGTAATGGGTCACCAATTGGTAATGAGTCCGACCGTTTCCCTTAGAGTCGAGATAGACCCCCAAAAAATCTCAAAATTTTGGAAGTCCGAAAATCGATTTTTCGAAAAATGTTGCCTTGGGGCAACAATATTTTTTGAGGAATTCTATAAATTAAAAATAGTGGTGTTTCAATAAATTCAATCATGACTTACGATATTGTCAATAATGACTGTCGCGGAGTAGTAAAACCCTCCGACGTAAAACGAAAAAATCACAACTAGAAAGAGCTTATTTCGACTCTTGAAAATCATCCCTTAAAATCGCTCTTTTTACATCTCTACATCGAAAGAAATACGCGGCAATCATCTTATACGCGTTTTCGATGTAATGGTGCGAAAATGATGGTGAATGATATCGCGCGCTAATTTTGCAGAATAAGTGCTTTCGAAATTCAGAGAAAATGAAACGCGTTTTCAAAGTTCAAAAGCAGACAGATTGCTTGGAATCCTATTTTGTCCCTTCAAAGTATTAATCGACTAAGCTTTCAAAAATCTGAAAATAAGGCTTACCGCTAATCTGACATGACCTGGATCGAGCACAAAAGGGGGCTCATTTTTGATCATTCACTCGAGAAACGAGAGAAACAAAATTAAAACAAAAAAATATGCTCGATTACATCGTTTTTTATACGTTTGTGTGTATATTTCTTTCTGCTTGCGTTTTTGGTAAGAGCTTTTTTGAGAAATCTTAGTTTAAAAGGCTTTATAAAGCTCTTTTTGCTGTTTTTGGGGGTTTATCTAACCCCAAAATCGCACTTGAAAATTGTTTTTTCGCCGAAAATTGACGATTTCGCCCTAATTTTGGCAAACATATGATTTTTCTTTGTCAAATATTTTTTTAACCTGTTTAACCTGCGAACGCATTAATAACCAAAAATGTGGTGCTTTTAAAAATCTCCATTTTTCGAAGGAAAAAGCTGACGGGGGTCCTAAGGTAATTTTTTATTAAATATGATTTTAGTCGTGATGATGCTATTCTTCACCGGTGCCCTTCTTTCCCGCCTTGGAATCGCCAAAAATCGCGATTACAACGAAGAAATCTCCATCGAAATTTAACCGTTTTCCTTCTTCGAAATCAAATTTGCCTTTTGAAATTAAAAATAAAATGAGTGACATAACTGCTGATGTGTTAATCGACCGCGTTGTTGTTTACGCATTCCAGTGCTCATTTTCACGAAATCTTTCCATCTGCTGTTTTCATTGTTTTCAAACAAATTCCTCAAGCCAACCGCAAGCGAGCGCTGACAAAGACCATTTATATCTCGCCCAGTCGCTGATTTCTCCATCAAACTCAAACTCGAGAATAAAAAAACACACACAGCAAGATGAAACTGACATCCGGACTTCTCTTCGCTTTCGCCGCCGCCCAAGGTGAAGAAGAGCGAAAGAAGAACAACGCCTACGGAGGAAACAACAACTACAACAACAACAATTACAACAACAACTACAACAACAACAACAACTACGGATCCGCCTACGGCGATCCCCACTTCATGATCAGCTCCTCCACCCAGCCCAGCATCTGCTTCGACTACACCCCGGAAGCCGACGCTGAGTTCACCCTTCTCTCCGACGCCTCCTCTGGCCTCCTCATCGAAGCCCACTCCGCCCTCCGATTGAAGCACGAGACCCACCGACACATCATCATGGACGAGATCAAATTCACCTCCCCCGAAGGCCGAGTCATCTCCTTCGACATCGACGGTGTCCATCTCAGCGGCTCCGAAGAGAACGCCTCCGACCGACACCCATTCACCGGCGTCCAGACCTTCGGAGACATCTCTTTCGTCACTCACACCGACGCCCACGGTAACCACCAGCGAACCCACGTCGAGGTCGGCGATGCCGTCTTCATGGTCCGAGGAAACGCCCGAAAGGTAATCAAAACAAAAATCTTCGATGATTTTTTGGAAAATCTAAAGAAAAAATCCTCAACCCCCTTTTTCAGGAATCCATGGCTGTCGCCGTTGTCGAGCCAACTGGCCTCTCCGCCGAATCCACCGGCATCATCGGTCAATTCCTCCGATCCGACGCCTACACCGTCGAAGAGACCTCCAACCTCCACGCCACCGTCACCGCCGGCGGCATGTCCGTCGAGGCCGAGAAGAAGCCCTTCCATCAGCAACTCGCCTGCTGGGTCGTTGAAGAGGATGCCATGCTCAACATGATCGCCAACATCTAAATTCGAAAACAAACAAATCGCGATTGTTCTTCTTCCCTGTTTCTTTTTCTCCTTTCGTGGTGCAATATATAACCTTGGGATTTCAAAAATAATAAATGTGTCACCCACAGGTCATCAAAATTGAAGTCTTCTATTCAAAAATCAAGGAAATCGCAGGAAAATTATGAAAATATAGACATTTTTTATTTACTTGAAAGAGTGATTGAGCTTTTGTCGGTTTTCAGAAGCAAGCAGAATTTATGAACAATGAGGGTTGAGAGCGTTGATATCGCGATTTCGAATTTGCCACTGGCACTTTCCATTTTACAGGAGCAGCTTACGCCGCTCGTTATTCTAGAAAAAGCGATTAATTATGGCTCTCCTTATTTACTCACAATTTCGGCCGAATTCGCTGATTGCTGGCCTTGCACTTCCATCTGCAAAAAGAGCCGTGTTCGTAATTTGGCCCCCTACTTCTCAGAAACGCTATTCTTCCTTGATAACTCTGATCAAAGTACGTACTCTCGCCCCACTTGACCTTTTCCTCTTCATAAATGATCGGCCTGCCGTAACGATCAATGCACTCCATTTCGATATTTGACGCGTTGTAAGTGTAGAAGAAATCGCCTGGATTTGGGCAAGCGCCCTCGTCGGCGCAATACGCACCTGTCAGGGGTTTATTTCGAAGTGGCTCCTTCCAGCGGCATTGTTGACGGGTGCAGTAACACTTTCAAGTGGCTCAACCAGCGAACAAGAGTTCAAATAGTATGACTCAGTTAGATAAGACTGACTAGGATTAGGGGACTTGGGATACTCATAAGGGGATCCCTAGGGGATCCTAGAGGATTAGCCGTAAGGGGGTCCCGGGGGTCGGAGCCCCCTTTGCTTTGGGGGTGGGGGTTCGTAGATGGGCCCTTCTTTTCAGCCTTTGAAAGAAAATGGCATATTGTTGAGCCAATCCTTTAATTTGATTGAATAGCTTAGTGTTCCATAATTCGAGGTATGAATCACATGACCAGGTTGAGAGCACTGTAAGTTGCAGGAATTGTCATTACTGATGTCATCACAATTCTACAATGCAAAAATTAACGGATTTCTATTTGAAAAAAGCTCACAATTGGAATGATGTCTTTTGCCAGTCGGATGGATTCACGTGGGTTGGGGCAGTATTTGATGCACTCGCATTCGGAGTCGGTGTCCCAGTCCATCGTTCCGAATTTATTCAAAGTGCATTTTGCTGAATTTCCTTTCGTGCACTGGAGAATCGCATCATCAGGGCACGAAGCGGTTACTATCGAATTCAAGCCGAATCGGGTCGTTTCCTCAAAAATCGATTCTAGAGAAGATGACGATAAAAAGCTACCTGGGAGTAGATTAATTCGCCTCCAAGTCGTCTTTCCTTCAAGCTGAAGAGTTTTGGTTCCCCACATGTATTTTTTGAGCAGTGGCAGTTGGGACGATTCGACCAGCTCCCGTCTGCCAGACAAGTGCTCGAAGAAATTTGACCAATACAAATTGCGATGAGTTCTGTATCTTCTCGATTTTCGCAGACTGCTCGGCAGGTCGCTCCCGTTGGAACTTGATAAGCACTAGAAAGAGTCATGTTTTGTTTTTGTTTTTTCTATAATACCTAGCCATTTCATCGCAGTGCCAATGGTAAGCAGGCTTCTGGGCTTTCTGAGGTAGCTGATTTACATTGCACAACTCAGGTAGACATTTGCATCCTGCGTCGTAGCCAACTTGATCCCAACTTGAGCCGGCTTGATCCAAAGCGCATTTTAGCGAAAGCTCGTCGCAGCTCAATGCGTAGCCAGGATTACATTTTCCACTGCATCTTTGGCCTTTTTGAGGGTACTTTTTCGAAAACGCTACTTTTCAATGACGCAGCCTGGCCAAAACTGTCTGCTAGACATTGCCGTTCGTGGCGAAATAAACGGGGCTCCCTGGGAAAGTCGTCAAATGTCGCCGAATGTCGCCGAACGTCGCCAAATGTCGCTGAATGTTGCCGAATGTCGCCGAATGTCGCTGAATGTCGTCGAATGTCGCCACTTATTCTTGAAAAGATGTCGACATTTGGCGACATTCGACGACATTTGGCGACATTTGGCGACTTTCCCAGCGTCGCCAAAATATACAAAAATCATGTTTACCCTAAACCTTGATCATCACACTCCCAAAAGCCATTGTTTATCTTCGGCTTCTTCGAGCAATCGCCATTATTCCCCTCAATTGGGAACAAAGGAGTTTCTGTCGATAACGATGTCAAAGACACGGTTGTTGTCTCAGGCGTTGATGAAGTTTGAATCGACGTGGTGACCTCTTCTTCCACGCAAATCGGACTTTTGTCGCCTTTTGAGAGTAACGATGAATTATTCCGATTTCTCTGTTGAGGAGCTTACGTCTCTTGTTCTTCAAGTTCAAGAAAAGAGGGAAAGAGATGAGCAATTTTTATGCATTTTCTTTATTTTAATTGGAGCTTTCTGTAAGTATTTTTTTCTGTCAAAATTCTTTGGAAACCAAAATTCTCGAAATTTCATGGATTTGAAGAAAAGGGCTCTTTTAGCCAATCAGAAGCAAGTATGGCTCGCTTCAGCCAATTAAAAACGAGAACGACCCCCATCAGATACCCTCTATTCTTCCATTTTTGCTTATTATTCATGTGACATTCTATTTATTCAGTCTTCCTGGCGATCTGGATTTTCATCCTCCGAGTCGTTTTCTTCAACCCAAAAAGCGACAAAACAGCAGAATTCGAAGCAAAAAAGCGATCAACCCTAAAAGGCAGAAGTCGCCAAAATACGATCTGTGTCCAACTTGAAAGCTCAACCAACCCTGAAAAATGAAAAGAATGTTTCATCCTTAAATGTTACTTTTCCTGAAATATAAATTTCCAAGTCGTAGTCGTACTCCATGAATCCAGGAATGTTCTCAGGGCAGATTTCGCTCGAAATCGCGTAAGAAATCAGCTGATGAGAGCCGAGAATTCGCGAAATATACCAATGATTCGTCATGTAGTAGAGGTACAGTCCGGAGTTCGACTTGTAAGCGTCTTTTCCATTGAATTTCGAGTGGAAGGAGTAAAAATCGTTTTCGAGAAAACGACTTGCAGCAACTAAAATCGCAGTCTTCCTCGTCGGATTTATCGGAGCAATCAAATTCGCCGTCGCAAATCCGATGTTTGAAAATTCTCTCGCGAGAAATTGGACACGTGACCAACTCGTGGCCGCAGTTTTCTTCGCAGTGGTATTGTTTGCAGGTTTGAATGATGTCGAGCGTTGTTGGTCGGAGCCGCTGGGTTTGGATCGGCAGATCGGTTTTGCGATCGGTGATTGTTGGGTAGTTGTAGTTTTTCGGGTCGCGGGAGAAGTCCCACGAACCGTAGTGCATCACGGAATTGAGTTCGTATTGATCGTTCGTGTCTAGCCAGGCTTCTTCGACAAGAAGCTAGGGAAAATGAAATGAAAATAAAGAAGCGAAAAAGGACGAATTTTGGGTCGAAAAATGGATACAGCGGCTCGAAGCGACAAATAATCGCGACAAAATTTTGCGTGGGCGGAAAAACGGCTTCTGATTGGCCGTTAAACGGAATCCAGGCTGCTGATTGGCTGAAAATTCCCAAAATTTTGTCGCGAATTTTTGTCGCTTCGAGCGGTTATATCCATTTTTCGACCCAAAATTCGTCCTTTTTTCGCTTCTTATTTCTTGTCGAAGATACCTTGAAATTTTTGGCCTTTCCATCAGTAATCCTGTCCCAATGAATCTTTACATATTCATTCCGATCTGGTCGATTTTGTTCATGATCTCTCCCGAGCGCATGAAATATCTCGTGCAGCGTCACTCCCCTCGTGTAGCAAGTATCATCGAGCGAAAGCCGCTGGCCAGTTGCTTCGGCTTGTTGAGCGCCGAGAAAGCTCCAACAGCCGCCGCCGTCGACGATGTGGATCTTGTGCTCGAGTCGCTGCGCTGCGAGACGAGAAATCGGGTCGATTTGAATGCAATTGTTGAATTCCTTATTTATCCAAGCAAAATGCCCGATCACAGTATTTCGATTCGCGCGAGAAATCGAATGCCGATTGTCGAAATAAACCGGAACCACGTATTTGGAAGTGCTGTGTTTGTAGCCATTTTTATCACTCGTCCCGTTTTTTCCATAAAAATCCATCGCTGGCCCATTGGAAATTTATTTTCAACAAGAAGAGCTCGAGAATTTTCGATCGGCTTTCGTCTACTTGATTGTGAGTTTTCTTCGAATTTGATGATGTTTTTCGAAGGGAGGAGGATTCCGCGGGAAGCGAATTCGCGATATGTTGCCTTTTTCAAGGCTTTTTGAATGACACAAAAATTATTGAATTTTTTTTTTTTGTAATTTTTTAAGTAATTTTTGGATAATTTAGTTGATCTGAAAATTTTTTTAATAATTTTTAAATAATTTTTTTAATAATTTTTCTTTCAATTAATTTTTTCATTTTTTTAATTTTTAAAAATTATTTATTTATATTTTTTTCCTTGAAAAGAAATTTGAATGAAGCCATTCCTTCGTATAAACAATATCATCACTCGTCATCCTAAACTTCGCCAAATATGAAATTCCTCTCGGCCTCGGTCGAAAATACTCCAACCCCTCCACTTGTCGCCCTTTGTAAGATGAAGAAGAACTCGTCAATCGTTTCTTCGGTTTGCCGTAGCATTTGACTGTCTGTATCTTTTTATTCGGCGACCATTTGCAGGAAACATAGTGGTTGTTGATTTCTGTACATTCGCAAATGACCTGATCGACGGTGGACTTCATCCCAGGGGGCAACGGACCTGGCATTTTGAATGATTGTCGTATTTTTTGAAACTTTGTTTTCTTCAAAAGGTTCTTTTTGAGAAAAAAGGGGTCGCGAAAAACGTGAAATTCAGAGAATCTACTAGACATTAAAAACTTTCTAAGGCGTTTAAGAAATTCGAGCCGGCCAGGAAATCCTTCTCAAGCTAAAAGTATTAAGCATTTGAGAAAATTGATCACTGCCCGAGCAAGGCCTTTTGCTGCATTAAATTAAGGGAGGGGTCTTTCAAAGGGCTTTGGATTATTTTTAAAGTGAACCTTGATCCTGAGCAGCTGACGAAATTTACAGCGCTTTCGAAGCGGAGACGGTACCAGATTATTGGGTCAGGGCAGCCAGAACTGAAAAATCAGCCTTTTAGGCAGAAGAAGAAGAAAAATGAAAAAGGCGAAAGTTTGAAAGATTTCCGGGCAGAACCAAAAATTGAAGCGATTTTCTGAATCTGGATTTTCATTGGCCGGTGAGCAAATACAGCAATCTTATTGGTTATCCGAAAATTCACTTCAAATTGTTGGTTAAGCTCAGGTTTACGGGACTAAACCAATTGGAAGTGTATTTTTAGATAACCAATAAGATTGCTGTATTTGGCCTATCGGCCAATCAAAACCCTAATCCATTAAATCAATTTCATTAATTGGTTTAATCCGATTTCAAGCGAAATCGTATTTCAAAGAACACCAAAATTAAATTAAATAAAGATGGTTCATCAAAATCAAGTTTTCTCCAAAAATTACCTTGATGCTTCCACACCAAGAAAAGCGCCGAGCAGAATTTTTCTTAGTCTCATCTCATCGATACGTTCTCGCAAAAACCCTTCTTCTATCTCTGTTTTAGATTTTTCTTTCTCTCTATGTTCGAAAAAATAATCACGAAAATGCTCGTCACTTTTAGTTCTTTCAAGTTCTCGTTTTTCTTGAAAAAGTTGATTTACAGAAAGCCCCGGTCGGAGCGAATTTTGGTGTCGCAGCGCCACCGCCTTTCATTCTCCGATAACTTATCGGTCAGCCATGAGCCGCGGGAGATTACGCGATTAGCATTTATTGTGTTTTAGGGTTTCAGTTTCGATAGATACCAAGCTCAGAAATTTAGACCTTGTTTTCTTTATTCAAGTACTGTAGTGCTTCGGTCAAAGCGAACTTAGAATGAAGGATTTTAAGGGTTCCTCTCATCCAATAAGAAGCCAGTATTTCCTCCGTCAGCCAATAAGAAGCCCAGTTTTGCTCACCCTATTTCTCGGGTCGTAAAATTGGCCAATCAGAGCCAACGAAGGGCCCTTTTCTGATTGGCTTATTGACAAAATTAAGGCCTATGATTGGTTGATTTGAAAAGATGCTGGCCCTGTTGTCGACCCAAGCCAAAGTTCATTTTATAGCTCTTCAAGTAATAAGAGTTCGAACTATCTTTTAATAATTAACTTTCTCAACCTCTTTCGGGGATATTCTTTTTCTCGATTGTCTACGGTAGAGCTTAGCGTCTGTCGACTTTTTGATAATTCTCCAATTTGGGCGATATTCTCCGAGTTAGACCGTATGTTTCGAGGTGATAGTCTAACCGTTTTTTTAATAAACGATGATCTGGAATCACTGTCTGCTAGCCCTTCTAATTTGTTATAGATTCTTACAGATCGAGGACACATGTTCGTTGGTGTAAGCTTCTTACAGTTTTTTGCCTGAATTGAGACTGTTATTTACAATACAACTTCAATACGAAGCTAATTTTGTTCATTTTTGTATTGACAAAAATGTTCAATAAAACGAGAAAAACGATAATTATCGACGGCCAATGACAGTAAGTTTACTTTATTTTTATTAATATTACAGTTTCGGGATGACCTTTCGGAAGATTCTAGGAGAATATGACCACGTGGGTAAGATGACTTGGCCATATAAATAAGCAAAAGGACGATTCCAATTTCACCGCATTTCGTGTCGAATTCAGCATGGCGGACGCAAATAAATATGGAATGACGAATCGTGTCTCTCGTACTTGCCTTTCTTCCAGAAGCAACCAGGTGAAAATAAGGTCAAGTCTTGAAAGAGCAGTCTCGTAGGGCTTCGCTAAACGGATGAACTTACGAGTTGATCTGTCTCTTCGGAAGCCGGAGGATGATTCTTTCGCGCATACTCAACTTGAAACCAGGTAATAGCGCGATCTGATCAAACTAATCCGCCAAACGTCATTTGAGCTAACCAAAGCAAGAAGCCATCTTTCTAAAAATGGACTCAACGAACCTAAAAGCGATTCTTCTATTACTCTGAACTTATTCAATTATTGTCAAAACTAGATTAATTTATTCCCCAAAAATTTTCCTCGTTGATATCAATTTTTTGAACAATTAGTATGATCAATCTTTTGGCTCGAAAACCTGAGTTAAAATGGCAATTTAATTTGTCTCGATGAGTTACAGTCAGGGTTGGGGCTCAGACCTGAGTCAGGGAATGAAGAGATACGAGAACCCTGACTCAGGTCTGAGCCCCCAAATGGCCCCTGACTGCAACTCATGGAGACAAATTAAATTGCCATTGAAAATTTATCAAGATATCGATCGTTACTGTATTTTCTCAATTGAAGGCTATCAAGATCATTTTTTGCCGCCGAAATTGAAGTGGTGTTCAGCCGACGAAATTATCAGATGTTTGGAGAACACTTTTTGTTTTCGAAAACTAAAATTGACTTTTCCCGTCGCCTTCTCGTCGGTATTCGAATCATCGTCAATTAACTGTATCTCGGTTTCGCTTGCTGTTTCGTTCCAAGGTGCTGACAAGTCAAGTTCGAGAAAATGAAAGGCGATCAGCCCCATCCGAAATGCATTTGGTTCAAGACATTCATTAATTTCTTATTACGGTATTGAATCAATGAAACCATTATACCATTATATTTAATCGACTCGTGATTCTCAAATGAAGTCAATAATTAACAATTTTTTGCATGTTCATTGTCACAAAAATTTTTGACTGCTAATGATCTTGAATGACGGAAAGACATTGTCAGATCGAAGGGATGAAAGATAAGCCGCATTTTTGGCATCAAAAACCAGTGGATTATTGAGCCAATAAGGAGGTTTTATCGAGTTTACTCGTAAGAGTGGGACTCGGACCGACGGCCTTGCACACTCCTCCACACTCGCGAATAAGAGGGTTGCGTCAGGAAACCAAAAAAATAAAATTCGAAAAATTTTGCGTGGGCGGCAGCTCAGCTGCTGATTGGCCGGTTAGTCTAATCAAGTCTTTTGATTTGTTGAAACGAACACAAAAATGTCGAGAATTTCGCGTTGAAATTTTCAACCAATCAGAAGCCTTGATTCGTCTCACCGGCCAATCAGCAGCCGAGTAGCCGCCCACGCAATATTTTTGAAATTTTTTTCGGTTCCCGACCCCATCCCCTTTTATTTGAGATTTTTCAGATCCTGACTCAGGTTTTCTTTACAGGTTGCCCAGCCAAGAGCAATGAAACTGTCCCCGTCATTTTCCAGCCCTAGCTTTCAAACTATCCAAAGCCGGGGACGATCCTCATAAGAAATATATGAAGATCCTCGTCAATATGCGCTTAGGGAAGCTTACAGTATTAACAGTATCTTCCCTAACGTGGAAACAACGTGTTAAACTCTCGAGCGCTATCGGCTGTTTTGCGGTTTAAAGTAAGCGGCCGATTGAATTTAAATTGAAAAGCTCTTGCGAATTTCGCAAAATATTTTGTTTTTCAAAAAAAGTGTAAGAAGATGAGAATTATCAAGATCCTGCTGAGTCTTATTTATGCGGCTTCAGGCATTGGTTAACAAAAAATGAGAAGGGAAGGGAAGTGATAGCTTCACGATGAAATTTGGTGATGATGAGGGTAAGTTATCAAGTTATTTTTCCTTCTTTAGGAAGACTTATTTGGCAAGCGAGAAAATATAATTTTAGCTCTTTTGAACGATTTTGAAACTCGAAAAATCGTCGAAATTTTGGATTTTTGCATCAAAAATAGATTTTTTAATTGATTGTTTTCGAAAATTTGATCATTTTGAGTCAAAATCTAGCCGATTTTTGCTGAGTAACCAAAAAACGGCTCTGACAGATTCGAGATCTAAGATAGATCTACTTAAAGACCTCTTAAAAAAAGCCTTAGCATTTGCAGCTTCGGGGTTTTTCAAGACTAAAGTTGGGGTAATCGAAGGGAGTACCCTTTAAATCTTTTTGGCTTCTTCGTGATTTACTTGAAGGTAAAAGTTCATGAAACAATATCATTTCGACTAGAAAAACACAGTTCGAAAATTGACAAGAATTGAACTGACATTTCTACCGGCTTTTGCGCAAATAATTATTGTCATCTAGCCATTCGCTCTTCAATATGCATCAAGTCGTTCGGTGCATTTTACATAGATGATAGATCTACGGTCGAAGAGACATTATCCAAATAATTCATCTCGCCCCAATATCATCCCATAAGTTAAATTGTTAATCCAAACTGAGCATCGATGTCGCTCCTTCCACAATTCAACACTGATAAACCAGGTAATCATCCTTTTTACGAGACACCCATTTGCGTTCAAAACCAGTATTAAAAAGATGATCGATTCTCAAGCTCTTTTAAGGCGGACACAAAATGCTGAATGTTGTTGACAAACTGCGCGCGCTAAAGGCGAAACTCAAGGAGGGAAAAGGAAAGAACAATTTCAACTTCTCCGATGAGTTCAAAAACAGATTGTAAGTTTTTGGCTCAAAAATATTTCTTCAATTTTATGATTAATCGAATTCTTTAAATTCTTATAAATTATGGGAACCGATGAAAATTTCGACAAATTTTGCGTGGAAATTTTCAACCAATAAGAAGCCTTCTAGACCTGGCTTACTAGCTAATCAGCAGCCGAGTAGCCGCCCACGCAAAATTTGTCGAAATTTTTTGTCGGTTCTTTCGACTATCTTTTGGTCCACCCTAGCTGAGATCCCAAAGGGGTGGTGTCTGGAGTCGACAAAAAAATCCCGACAAAAAATTTTGTCGAAATACCATAAAAAATTTCCAAATCGGGCTTCGGCTGTCGACCAGAAAATTTCGACAATTTTTTTCCGCGAAACAAAAATGAAACACAAACTGATCCCTCTTTAACCCAGTCAATCAAAAATGAAAGGGATCACAAAATGAAAATTTTGCGATTTTTCCTGTCGAAATTCCATAAAAATTTTCAAATCGGGCTTGCGCTGTCGAAATTTTTTGTCGATTCCAGACACCACCCCATCCCAAAGTCTTCAAACCCTAACCCTATGTTTTTCCTTTCAGATTGGAATTCAACCACCAAAACCAGCAAGCACAGACTGGAAAAAGCGCCCAAGCCTTTCTTCTTAATCCTATCTAAAACCGGTTTCTATTGTATAGCACAAAATAAATGCACTTTTATACGAATCGCTCTTTTTCTCCTTTTTTCATCAATTATTCACCCAAAAAGAGAGAAAAAAAGAGGTGACTTACAATTTTTTTATGGTTCGCTAAGTATCGTTTCATTTGTCGAAAAACATTGACTTTGACCTTCGCTCATTTAATATCTGATAAGTACGCCCTTAAGAGAGAAGACGACGAGGTGTAAGATTTCAAATTGCAAGTCAAATTGATTGCCTTTAGTACTGTAGCAGAATTTTTATTACAGCGAGCGAGACTTGTTAAGCTTGATATTTACCGAGAGCAAATACAAGAAGAGCTGAATAAAAAATTTTCAATGACGACAGCAGACTTTGGCGAAAGCGAAGTTAGAAAAAATGAAACAGGTGGCCAACTAGAGCAGAGAAGCATGGCAGAGCAGATAATTGGAGCGATTTTGGGCAAGGGTTTATTGCCAAAGGTAAGGATTTATGCTGACATTTTATGGATCAGGGTTTTCATTGGCCGGAAGGCCGAATACAGCAATCTTATTGGTAATCCGAAAATTCACTGCCATTTCTTGGTTTAGTCCCATTTTATCGCCAATAAGAAATTTTAAAGGCAGAAAAAATTCAGAAAAATAATTAAGGTCGCGATTGCCCTAACAATTGTCCTGGTCACTTATGCATTTTCCCGTTTCCGGCCGAAAAAGAAAGCCAAATAAAATCCGTCCAGACTTTATCTTGCCCGATAAAAATGAAGAACAACAAATATCACAATCAAACAAAGACAAATCTTTACCGGCTGAAATCAAGGAAGAAAATGTTCAAAAGAAGAAAAATTTTAAGGAAGAGAAAAAGAGGGAGAAAAAGAAAATAAGGGGTGCTGGAAAACTTGAAGAATTATTGAACGAAGAATCAGAGGACTTTTTCGATTCGGAAAAGGAAGAAATCGAGGAAAACGACTTCAAATTCAAGACAACGAAAATCGAGAGAAAGAATCAATTTCAAGAAGCCAAGTCATCACCTGAAAAGATTCCCTTAGTAATCGACATCGGAAGCACTTTTACGAGATTCGGCTACGCAGATGCGGAGCAACACGCGATTGAGATTCATCGCTCCGTCGTGGGAAGCATGCGACAGCAAATATCAACAAAAGATGAGAAATTTTATGGTAACACCGCGGCGCAAAAGTCTAGCTTACTCAATCTCTCAACTTTTATCAATCATGATATCGTCGATTGGTCTTCCTTGATTTCCTCATCAAAACTTTCAACTTTGACATTTCCGCACAACCAATCGTCCTAACCGGCCGACTCACACCATCTGATCACCAAAAAGCCCTTCAATATTTCATGGAATACGAACATGTCACTGAATTTCTCTATCAACCACAAGCGGTTATGGCCACTTATGGCAATGGACTTACTGGAGGCCTGTCGGTCGTGGCGGGAGCGAGGGGTGTCGAAATTGTTCCAATTTACGATGGGGAAGAAATTGAACGATCAAAGTTCTTTTCGCCTTTTGGAGGAGAAATTATGCAGGAACGAATGAGGGTTTTTCTCAGAGATGAGCGAGATCGACCATTGAATGTAAGGACAACCCGATTTCTCGTTGATAAAATGATTTTCTAGAGCTTTTCTGAAAAGGAATTTCTTCGTCTTGCAATGCAAAACAACGCCGTCTTCAATGGTGTTCCAAAAGTCGACGAAGTTGTTCTTCCAGATGGTGGGCGAATCAATCTTTCTGACGGACTAAGAGTCTGTTCTCGCGCCATCATCCCCGAATATCTTCCAATTTCCAAATCGCTTCAAAGGTTTTTCCCAATGTTGTGATTTTTCTTTATGATTTTTAGCTGCGATAAGGATCTGCTGGAAAGTGGAGTTTTCTCGCAATGCGTCTTTAGTGGAGGCTTATCGAATATGACCAATTTCAATCAAGGTATTCTTCAATACACAAAAGCAGCACGATCTAAAAAACCGCTAGAATGTATTTCGTCCATCAAAGACGCATTCATCGACATTCGCCAAAACCGAAAAATATGGTCAACTAGAGCAACTCATCGAAATATGCGAATTTCCTCCTTCACTCAACCAGGTTTTTAATCAAGCAGCCAAAGCCCTAGATATGTTTAGATCCGGAATTATCTCCTTGGAAAGGAGCGTCCATAATAGCAGAAACAGAGAGTATCAGGAAACCGCGAAGTATAACAGACTCACTTTACAAAGATTATGGTGTGAATATTCTCAAACGATTCTGAAAACAAAATGTCTGTATTAGTTCATTCTACTCAACTGCCAAATAATAAAACGATTCTAGCTTCATAATTTATTCAATGAATATTTCCACAAAGAATATTTCGAATGTAAACATTCATTCCTGGCGAATCACAACCCTTTGGCTGAGTCTTTTTCGCCCCCATTTCCACTTCAAACTCGTTTCGCCCAAAAGTTGGTTCGACCATTTTGCTTACAATTTGAGCTGATCGCTGCGTGATGACTTTTTTCATCTCCTCCGCGAGATCGCTAGAAATGATTCCAGCAGAAGAGATGATGTCCCAGTCTGGTTTGCATTTTCGCTCGCACTCGTCTTCTCGTTGGAAGTTGTTGTTGGTTCCAGCGCAGCCGCCAAATCTGAAATTGATGAATATTATTGACGGTATTTATCGATGGGGAGGTCCTTAAATGATGGTCAAACTTTAAGTGGCTATAAAGTTAACTTTGCCACTAAGGGTATCACTGTCTTATCTCAAGTTGTCTTGTACATGAACATCCGAATTTACGAATCGTCACGTGACTGTCTTTATCGCTCTTACCGAAATTGCTTGCACATTCTAGAGTTAGCATCAAACGCCCATCTCTGATGATTCGCGGCGCAGGGGCCCCTGACAATATCTTCCAAACAGCCGAATTCGATGAATTTTCCAAAATATCGACATCCAGCTTTTTCGAGATCTCCAGCTGAAAACTGATCTTTGCATTCTTCTAAGTCGAAATCTCGGGCAATTTCTCTCAATTTTGCTCTCGCGTCAAAAGCAAAAATCGAGCTGAAAAAGAAGCTAGAAATCTTCATCCTTTTTTTGTCTCGGATTTTATGACTCAGAATGTCGGAGAGGAAGAAGACGGAGAGGGAAAAAAGAAGCGCTGGAATAATTCCGCCTCTGGCGGGAAAATGATCAGAAGAATGGATTTATCAGCAGGAAATATTTTTATTTTGAAAAGAAGCAGATTTTAGAAATGAAGCGAATTGGAGGAGATTTTGTAAATAAAAAGAAAATAGCGAGGTTTTTCGAAGACCGGATTTTTTTTTTTTGCGAAAAGAGTAAATCCCCTTTTAGAAAACGGTTTTTCGATAAAAAAAATCATCTTCTTTTTTCTCGATTTTTTTTTCGAAATTCAGTTCTGTCGTGGATTAGCCCGTGTGAGTATTAATTGGATCCCTTCCGGAACTCGTTTTTTTAATCGGCGGTGATTTCGTTTTGGCTCGGCGGGTGATCTCATTAATCAGAAGCGAGTTTTCGCTTTTGCGTTTTTTTTTCCGGCAGAGCAAAACACTGCTTGTTCGAAAATTTCTCGAGTGCCCGGCGAGAGTGGGCCCGAAACGTGCCCCCACTTGTTTTCAAATATCTTACAATCAGCTCAGCTTCTTATTAGGCAACGGAAAAGCCTTTCATCCCTTTATCGCTTATTGATACTGTTGGGGAAAGGAGCATTATCCTCCGCCGCAGGAAATTATCGAATTTTCACTTGAACCGATGTCTGGGAGACAAAAAAAGAAGGATGATGCACTAAATGACCGTAAAAATTGCCACGTTTTGCGGGCTGAACAACAATTTTCAAGTTGCAAGTAATTGGCAAGCTGCAAAATAAGCAGCTTACGTTCAGCATAACCAGTCCCTAATTCATTGACCACGCCGCTTTTTTTATTACAGTCACTCTCAAGAGGATACCCTTAATTTTTATCAAAATAAGTTGAGTTTTTGAAAAATCAAATTAAAATTCTAAATTTTATAAATCAAAAATTACTTTTATTTTTGATTCAAAATTTTTAAAAAGTAAATATAAAAAATTAAAATCAAAATTAGAATTTTTTTAAAATTTAAAATATATTTTTTAAAATTTACATTAAAATTCAGAGAAAATTAAGATTGATATTTTTTGTGGGTGATTTTCTTTACAGTCGCTCTAATACAGTATCAGAGCAAAAAAATAGCTGTGGTAAAATGTGTAAATTCTGGCGAGTCGGGGAGAAAGGCGGTGGCCAGGTTGCGCACGTGTTTTTAGCAAACAGTTTACACCGCCCAAAATTCCAGTGGCTCGAGTTGCTTTCCACTCTTTTTATGAGTGCTCAAACATGGTTGCCCGCTGTTTTGTGCTAAATAGAGTAGGTTCCATGGCAGTTCCGAAGTTATTATTAGCTTTGAGAGGCTTTTTTTGGACTAGTCAATTTTAGAAAGATTTTCTTGAAAAATGAGTTTTCACGAAAAAAATTATGAGAAAAAAAAAAATTCCGAAAAAAATTTTTTTCTAAAAGCGAAAGTTTGGCGATTTGTTAATTTCTTCTATTGTGGTTTTCTAAGAGTCCACATAATGTGGTACTAATTCGGCCAAGAAGCGGTCTCAACGATTTTTTAGGACTCAGCTCTTGTATAAAGCTAGCCGATAAGACCAGATACTCTTCCCACAAACATTTTGCTGCCATTATCTTATCAACGCTTGTATTCTAGATATTGCTTGTTCGAAACTCTTTCGAATAACGATCTTTCCTAAGTTCCAATTTTAGTTGAGCGGTGAGCGGCCGCTCAGCTCGCTCAGCGCAACCGTCCTTTTCCAAGACCGCTCAGCCGCTTGCTCGCTCAACTTGAGAGCATTGAGCAGTGAGAGATTAAGTAAGCGAATGAAAAAAATAGAATACGTTTTCTAAAATAAAGGGTTGAATAAGGTCAAACCTTTTTCTTTTCTCATAAATTATGATTCATAATTGTAAAATTGTTTTCGATTATCGAGAAAGTCCGAATATGAATATTTGATTATGAAAACCATAAAATAAGGATCGAGTTTCTACTTTAGATTTTTTATTTTTCTGGATTTCTGATTACTTAATTTTACTAATTTCGTCGTATGAACAGAAAATTCCTTGATAAATATACCTATTTTTTCGATGAATCATTCTAAAGATAACTCTTTATAATAAGTTGTTGACTTGCAGACATCATCGTTCTAAGTGCCTGTACTTGAAAAATCTCAATATCAAACACGTGTGGAGTCAAATCTTTATACAGTCTTTATTTACAGAAATGATAAAAAAGAAATTCAACAGAATTCTAAACTTGGTCGTTTTCCGTCGGTATCGATGAATTCTTCGTTTCATTCGAGAGTCCGGAATTGCCCAAAACTCCTGGATTCGATTTCCTGAGCTTTGGCGCATGTTTTTCGCAGTATTTTTTGAAGTCGCGTTCCTTTTCAAAAGAGTGTTTAATCGCTTTTTGAGCAAATATAGTGTTTTATAGCGCGACGGTTATTTTCGTGTTTTGTGGTTAAGGCGATCAGCGGGAAAAATATTTATGGGAGCGGAGCACGATAATTTGGAAAGAACGTTTTTCGGGTTTGTTTTTTGAACGGAAAATATCAGTTTTTCTGAGCTCGGCAACCTGTTTAAAAAACCTGAGTCAGGGTTCAAGTCCATCTCAAAAGCCGCGCAGCGGCTTTCCTAAAAAAGAAGCCGCGGAGCGGCTTCGAAAAATTATCATTTGAAAAATTTGGCGAAGCCGCTTCGCGGCTTCGTCTGTAAAAGAAGCCGCTTTGCGGCTCCTGAGATGGACTCTTCAGAACCTGACTCAGGTTTTGGACACAGGTTCTCGAGCCATAAAACCAATATTCCATGCTTCAAAAAAGCTTGAAAAATTGAAAGAGATGAAAATGTGTTTCAAAAACGCCATGAAAACGAATGTTTTGAAATTTATACTTTTCGCATTTTTCGCGGTTTCTAAAAAAGGTGAAAGGTATATTTTTTGTTTTAGTTTGTTTGGCGCAGCTTTGTTTATCGCCTTTTTCGAGGGATAACCATTCGTGAAACGCTTTTTTCGTGTTTTTTTAAATGTGGACTTCTGAAGATCAACACTTTTCCTGTTTGTGAAATAAGAAGACTTCTATTCCGTGCCAAGTTGCGACCAAGGCGAGAATTAAAAATACAGCGGCGGCAGCTGTCGAAATTGGAATTAAGAGTTCGCCATTTGTTTGGAGAAGCTCGCGAAAGGCGACGTAGCAGCCTAAGTGTTGGTCTCCTTATTTTAATTCAATGGTAATTTTTGGGGGAAAAAGCTTCCTTTTCGAATAGACCTATTCCTGAGTCATAAACCCTTAAAAATTCCATCTCAGAAGTCTTGTTCTCCGCAATGGTCGGCAATTCAGAATGACAAAAGAGCTCGCTTGGGTTTTCTAAAAATTCTTCTGGCGGCGACAATTGAACGCAACAGGAACTGGGCAAATCGTAACGAGATGCCAAAGATGTACCGTTAGAGGTTGCTTTTTCTTCTTGATAGTGGGAGGACCAGTCGGAGAAGGATTCGACTCCGCAGCAGCCGAGAATGTCTTTTTTGGGATGAAATTCTAGAGAAGTTCTAGAGAAAACAATCATAAGTATATAAACAAATATGAAACTTAAGGGGGTAGATATCAAGAATAAGATTTCTTCGCAGATTTTTTTTTAATTTTTATCATATTTACCCCCTTATTTTTGTCCTCAAAATTTACTTCAGGAAATAGATAAAGGTCTAAACTTTTAGTTTCTGGATAAAAATAAGGGTGTCACTATGAAAAATTTCGGAGGAAATGCTGCAGCAAAATGTCGATTCTTGATTTCTACCACCTTAAAAAACCATAACTATGTGGTTACTCTGATAGGTTTATTTTTTTTTTTGAAAATTCAAATTGATACAAGTTATTAAATAAAAATACTAATTTTAGCTTCCCAATCTTTAGATAACCCTAGAACTTTTTGATCCCTTCCTTGAAGATTCTCGAAACTCTGCCGATCCCTAAGATCACTTTTTGTTTTGGCAAACAAATGCCAAAAGATGCCTTTTGCCCTAACGAGGTCGGAATTGTTTTTAGGAATTTCCGTTACGAAAATATTTCTAAACAAAAACGACAAAACGCCACAACAGATTAGAAGAAAGCCCTGTATAAAAATCAAAATACTGTTTTCCTGTAAACAACCGATCGCGCCGAAAATGAACGAAAATACCAACAAGCAGCCGGCAGAGGTCCAGAGAAAGGGAAGCATGAAGAAAATTCGAGAGAAGAATTCTTCCCTAGAACCAAGCAAATTAGAAACGGGTCGCTGGAGGTATTTTTAGCTTACCGGAAAAAGCGAATTTCTCCCATTCCGGTCACAATTAGCATAATTCCTGATAGAGCTTTGGAAATTGGAAAAAAAATATTGAGAAAAATGTTACATTTGCAATGTTGCTAGTATAAAGGAGAAAGAGCTAGATTTTTATTGAAACGTAGTTTCCCAAAAAAAATTATTTATATTTTTTAACTGAACCAATTTTCAGGGTCTGGAAATAACAAAAACAGATAAAGATTCATTTTTTCAAAATTATGAGAAGTAAGATTTTTCCCTGATTTTTATACAAAAGTAAGATCGAAAAGAAAAGATCGATTTTAATCATAAAAACGAACCAAGAAAATCAAACCAAGCGGTTCAATTAAATTGAAGAGTAGAAAATGCCTTGAAATTATTTTTTTTCTTGCGATTTTTATCATAAAATTGATCAAAATGATCGAGAACTTGTCTGTTTGCACGAAAAGTTCAATATTGAATAATTATAGTTGCCGTTTGAAAGCTCTTTCCTGACATAAACGAGCAAAACAAAATGAAAACATTGAGAAATTCCAGCAAAACTCTTCTGTCCGTCTTCTCCCATTCTCTACTGACGATTTTTGTCAAACTTTCTCTTCTCATTTCTCTTTTTTCTTCCCCATTTTTCTTCTCTCCCAAAAAGGGAAAAGGCGGAATTCTTGTGTTTTTCGAAATCTTGGCAAAAGTCGCGTATTTTCGAAAAAAAGATCAATTCAGCAGTTTTTTCTTTGAAATATTTTTACAGGGGATTAGAAAAAAGTACCCATGAGCAAACAAGGAAAAACCGCTCGATCGTGAAAGCTCAGGCAACGGAAAACTGGCGCAAGAGAGCACCGCGCGGCGCCGCGTATTTCGACGCGTAAAGGGTCAACATATGTTTTTTCAAGAAATTACTGCTTGTAAACATACGTGTTTATACATTTTCCAGACATGTAATTTTATCGGTAAGACGTCAAATTTCACGAGAAAACACTTTCTAAGATAAAGTATACCAAGATTTTGAAGGTTATCGAAGATCTAAGAATCAAGAAAAAGCATACATTGCGATGAGGTTATGTTTTGATCTCATTTATTATAAGAATAAGGACTTTTGGTTTAAAATGCTTTCTTTGCGGCGATGCGAGTAAATTTCATGACTTTCCATTTCAGAAATAATCATCATTTTTTCATTTTTAACTGTATTTATGGTCATTTTCTAGCGCCGCTTGCGATGCAGATGCTATAATCCATATTTTTCACAGCTTGCCTAAGGTACCATTGAACGGAAATTTTTCGGGTCGTCAGCTGTAGATAGCGATCGAAAAATGGAGAATATGCTGAATACGAAATGAAAGTTTACATATTTTATGGGTCTCAAAAACTTTAACTGTCAGAAAAAAATGGTCAAATCATTGTTTATACCCTTAATGCACCGCTCATTGAGCATTTGAAACATGCTCAAGGAGCAATTTTCTCAACAAACCGGATGAATTATGTGTTCAAATACTTAGAAAACGTGGCTACACCCTTAAGTGACTACTTCCGACGCAACACAATCATCAACTTTCAGCATTAAATGTTGAGTAAAATAATCAAGATCATCATCTTAATCATCTCTTCGTCAATTCAAGTGGGAAACAATAACTTGACATAAGATAATTCACTGACATTGGTAGTCGTGAAAACGTGTCAAGTTTATTCACCAGCATCAAAAATTACTTTGTCTATCCGCCAATCGAATTATTCGAATTTCGAGATGGTTTCTAGCTTTTTTTTCATTCGATCATCACATTTTATTTATAGTCAATATCGAGAAACATCGTGTTAATTAGAATGATTGCATAAATATCGTCTATTTTCAGAACTTGATTATCAAATTTATGTAACCGTCAATTTAAAATAGGTTCCGATAGATTTATTTTGTTCAAGAAAAAAAATCCTATTGATTTGATCTCCCCATTTAACGGAATTAGGGGTCTTTGCTTAAGGGGGTCGCCAACGATTTTGCGAAAGTTGGAATTCTAGATATTGCGAATTTCGAAAAATCGTTGGGGACTCCCTTAAGACAAAGAAAATCCGTTAAAATTGAGATCCCTTTTAACGGAAAAAAGGTTCTGGCTTAAGGGGGTCCTCAACGATTTTGCGAAAGTTGGAATTTTAGAAATAGCCAATTTCGGAAAAATCCTTGGGCACCCCAATTTTTCAATTTTTCGGCACTTTTGATTGGCGGAGAGAAAAAAAAGTAGGGACCTTTTTTCTTTGTCTTTTATTGGGCTATCAGAATCTAAAAAGAAAATTCGGAAATTCCGACTTTCGCCAAACCGACTACAACCCCCTTAAGAAAAAGAAATTGAGGCCCCTTTTTAAACAAAAATAATCAAAATTAAAAATTTCAGCAAAAAATTTTTATTGAAGTAAATTTGATCATCAGAATTTCCGAATCATAAGTTTGACAGAAAAATTGTAAAAAAAGAACAGTAAGCTAACAGTAAGTGTTCCTCTTCGCAGCAACAGTTTCATCATCAACATTATTGAAAAAAGAGTCGCAAGCGTCGAGAAGCCGGTAGGAAATCTGGAATCCTCTGTATTCGAAAAGCGCGTCTGTTCTGAAAACCGCGTCGAGATCTTCTCCAATGTAAATTGATGGCTTAGCCTCCTGAGCAGCAAAAGTCGTGAAATATTGATTCTCAGTCGTAGTTGTTGCTGGAGCAGTTGTTGTTGCGCCGTTGTTGACGATGTTGGTTTCTTGTTTGTTGCAGTGTTTTTCGCCGTTGATTTTCAGGTAATCAAAAGCGCACTAGAATTTGATTGAATCTCTTCTAGCGATATGTTCGACTTACATCAGCGTCCATTTCAATGTCAAAGTCGACAAAATCCAGGACCAAAATCTCCCTCGGCGCGACCGATTTTGCATACGATTTCGTGACGCCCTTTGAGTAGCCATTTGGGTAGCCGGGGGAAGACCAAGTTCCAGAGTTTCCTTCGAGCACTTGGACGGTGGAGGAGGCAGAGGCGGCAGCGGCAAAGATAATTGAAGCTTTCATGTCCTGAAAAAAATGTTGCGCGACAGGAATTCGAGGAGGGATGAATTAAAAAGTGAAAAATTCCAGAAATTTCAAAAAAATTTGAAAAAAAAAACTGAAAAAAAATGAAAAAAAAACTGTCAAAAAAACCTGAGTCAGGATTTGGAAAACCTTCATAAAATCCTGGCTCAGGTTTTCAGCCCTGTTTTGTATTCCCTTACCTTTATCTTCGGCTAAGTTTTCTCTCTCTTTTGATGCTTTTTGCCATCTTTTTCTGCGTTTTAAAGCGGTAGAGATTGCCTCAAGGCCATGAAGTAAGACTGAAACTGCTTAGCAAGAATATGCAAAATGACGTCTTAGCTAAATTTTTCCGTGGAACGTGGAGAAGGACTCCAGCATTGTCAAAATAAAGGATCAGAATGGACGCTTTGTTTTTGCGCTCTTGAGAGAGATAATTGATTTTTAGACACTTCAAATTGAGCCGTGAAAAGTTGAGCTTATTTATTAAAAATCAAGAAAAAAAAAGAAGAAATTAGCAGTTTCGCTTTTGTTTCGCAACAACGTCATGATCATAAGCATTCAACGAGCAGAGATCGACGACTTCGTAGTTGATGACGAATCCCCTGCTTTTGTAAATTCCGTCGACGGAGATTTTCGCGTGCAGGTCCTCGGTGACGTAGATCGTGTCGAATTCGCTGAGATTGAGACTTGCAGCGGTGGCGGTGGTCCAGCCGACGGTGGATGTTTGCATTGTTGTGTATTCGGAACCGGAGTCGTCGGCGTATGCAGATTCAAAAGATGTGTTGCAGTATTTGTCGCCGTTGATGGAAAAGTAGTTGTAGCGGCACTAGAAAAAAAAAAATTCAATGAAAAAAAAATAAATTAATCTGTTCATTAGTCCTCATTTTTGACTGGAATCTGATTGGCCTACCGGCAGATGATCTGATTGATCGAAAATTCGACTTTAATTTTGATCAAAAATGTCAAATATTTTGGTCAATTCTCGATTCTTCCCTATTTTTATCATGAAAAAGAGACTCAGACTTACATTGAAATCGCTCTTGATATCAAAATCCTGGATATTGATCACCAGAACTTCATCCGGACCAACAGCCTGGGAGAACTCGTATCGGTAAGCTCGACGATCGGGAGAGGACCAAACTCCCGATGAACCGGCAGAAGCGGCGGCAGCGAAGAAAATTGAAGTTTTCATTCTTTATCTTCGTTTTTGAATTCTCTTTTTGATAAAAATTCATGTCATTCAGTCGATTATAAAGCAGAATGAAAATGGCCTGCGGGATCAAAATCAACAAATTTGCAATAAAAATCCTTGGAACCAACTTTCGTGCCTCTCCCTCCAAATGTTTTAGGTAAAAATAGACTTGTTCACGTGAAAATGCGGCATTTTAGGCAATGTTGTTATATTTAACGACGCTTTATGCATGTTCAGAAATAAAAGAATGAATCCATTTGAGATATTTCGCCACATTCGTGTACACACCGGGGCTGTTTTCTTCTCCACAGCCGAATCCCCAGCTCGTTACGCCAACAAGGGTCCAGCTACCGGCAGAAACGCAAACCAGAGGGCCGCCAGAATCGCCCTGGCAAGTGTCGACGCCGCCTTCCATGAAACCAGCACACATTTGTGAACGGTCCTATATTATATTATATTATATTATATTATATTATATTATATTATATTATATTATATTATATTATATTATATTATATTATATTATATTATATTATATTATATTATATTATATTATATTATATTATATTATATTATATTATATTGAAGAATAACCGACCTTTATGGAACCCTCAAGTAAGGCCTTGCATTTGTTAAACTCAACAATCGGCAGCGTCGCCTTGTTCAACATATTTTTGCTTCCATCCGTCTTTCCAAACCCGGATATGGCGCAGACAGCATTTGGTGATGGCGAGTACCGGGAGCTATTCGGAAGGCATGCTGGTCGGACAAACTCGGAATATTTCCATTTCCCGTGGATGAGAAGAAGAGCGATGTCGCCATAAACGACGTCTTCGTTGTAGTTGTGATGGTCGAGGACTTTTTGATGGCGAATTGTTGGTATCCATCTTCTCGGCTGGCTTTTCGGAAGCCTTTGGAAACATGCCCCGCCGAAACAAAGAAGTCATGTCTACTGACATCCGCCGTACAGTGAGCTGCAGTGATGACAACATTTTCTGAAACGATGGTTCCTCCGCAGAAGACATCGCCATTTCCATCACGTAGGCGGAGAGCGACCTGCCATGGGAAGTTTCCAGATTCAGCTTCGGTTCCGCCCATGATTCGCAGTTCGCGCTTTTGGTTTCCTGCTCGTCTTCCTCGGCGAAGAACGTGCTTTTGATTGGCTTATTTCGATCATGGATAAAATGCTTGTAAGCGTGGAAAACCATTCCTGAGGAAAATGACCATTGATATTCAATCGACTTGGCTTTTCTTCTTTCGGCCCCCAGCTCGCGCTATTCTCAACCATCCCGCATCTCATTTCATTCCAATCAACTTCACTTGATGATGACGGTTGATTCTCTTCCTCGCAGGTCTTTATTCCACAGAATTCCCAGCGAACATCGGGATCAGTTGTGTAGCACCAGGCGCCACTTGGAGCTTCGTCGGGACCAAAGTCGAGGTTTCTGCAGTGATTGTGGTTGCCGATGTAGGACATGTCATGGCGATGAGGGCGCTGAAAAAGATGAATTTTGAGAAAAAAGAGGATCAGACCTGATCTTGCCTGGGCTCGGCAACCTGTGTAGAAAACCTGAGTCAGGGTCTGAAAGAGCTGAAATGAAAACCCGCTGTGCGGCTTTTTTTAACAACGAAGCCGCGTAGCGGCTTCGCGAATATTACCATAACAATCGATAAAAAATTCTAGCGAAGCCGCTCTGCGGCTTCGTTTTTAAAAAAACCGCTGCGCGGCTTTTCATTTAAGCTTTCTCAGACCCTGACTCAGGTTTTCTACACAGGTTTCCGAGCCCAAGATCTTGCCAGTTTTGACATTTTCGTCCACTCAGCGTTGTTGATTTCGTTCCGACATAATCCGACCCTGGAATCGGCAAACTAAGCGTTTGACAATCCAGCTGTTTCTCAATCTCGTAGTCGAATTCGGTCGAGTTGTAGTCGTACGCATCATAGTCCGCGTTGAAATTCTGATAGTCCGATCCCGAGTAAAAGTAGTTTCCGAGATGTTCGCCTAAAATCGTGTTCCAATCAATGTGGTAGTCGTTTTCATAATCGTCTCCGGAAGAAGAGTCATCCTCGTAGTCGTCATAGACGGACGAGGAAGATGTTGAAGATGACTCATCCGCTTGATCATCGCATCTTGGAACATCGCAGTATTCAAATCTGACATCTGGGTCGGTCGTGTAGCACCAGGGTCCGTTTTCATCCCCGTCCGGATTTCGACAGTAATTTCTATTGAACTTCGGCCGCCTTGGTCTGTATTTCGGCTCGTGGGGTCGATTCTTTGACCAGTGCTGGCAAGTCAAGCCGGACGTCGTTGTTGACAGCTTTCCTTCGTATGGCGCGTCAGGTGACCAGCAAGTCTTTGGCGTTCCGTCGTTGCAGTCGGTGATTTCGCAGTATTCAAACCGAGTTCCGGGGTCGGTTGTGTAGCACCAGGGTCCTTTTGGATCGTTGTCCGGATTTCGGCAGAAGTTGTGGTTGGTTTCTCGAGGGCGAAAATTTGGCTTTTTGGAGTTTTGTTTTTGCTCGAAAAATTTCATTTTTATGATTTAGGCTCACCTTAACCCTAACCCTAACCCCGAGCTCAATTTCAAAACTCTTTCTCGTGAGGATAATCCGCATTCCACCGCTGACATCTTCTTCCACTAGCAGTTACAGAAGTCTCTCCTTTGTAATGAAAAACGCAATTTTTCGAGCCCTCAATCGCACTCGCCAAAAATGCAAAAATTTTCATCAAAAACGATGATTTTTTCAGACTTTTCAAAGCTTCGCTTGAAAATTGAAGAAGGGACAATTAATGTTTATTTGTCAATTCGAAAAAGAAACAATCAGCTGTCGCTTTGTCTCCATGATAAATGATGTCCGAGCAAGTCAGCTGATTGATAACGAATCTCCTCAAGAAAATTAAATGAATGAAAAAGTAGACTTTTCGAAAAGTGATTATTTTTGCGAAAAAAACCAAAGTTCATTGTAAGATATGTTCAATATTTGAAAATGCCCGCGCTATTTACCCATTCGACAAGACTCTTTGATTCGCAGCTTTCATTTCAATCCCGGAGGCGGGAGATTTTCTAGACAGCTTCTTTTTGAAAGAAATTTTTTCTGTTTTTTTATCAGATTTCATCAAATTTTTTCAGAGAAAATGTCGCTTGAATTTGTCTACTTTGATATCCAAGCCCTTGGACTTATGCCACGACTTGTTCTGGAGGTAACTCTTTATTTCTCATAAAACTCTAGAATTCCCTCTTTCAAGGCCAACAAGATCGATTACGTCGATTCCCGAGTTGACCTGATAAAATGGTTCACTGGAGAATCAACTCCTAAAAAATCCGGTAAAAAATTGAAATTTTTTCCCGAAAATTCATGGCACTAGAAACTCCGCTCGGACAAGTGCCCCTGCTCCGAGTGAACGGAAAGGAATTCTGCCAATCGACGGCCATCGTCAACTACTGCGCGAAATTGGCGAAGATTGATCAGATTGAGCCACTCGAAGCTCTCAAGGTTGATATGTTTGTCGAAACGGCGAAAGAAGTGTTTGACAAAATGCGACTTGCCTCTTACCCGGCCCTACAGGAACTCGGATTCAATCAAGAAAAAAGATTTCGAATTTCTCCGCGAAAAAATCCGTCGAAAAGACTGTGAAAGCTGAAGAAGACCCAACCTGGCAAAAACGAGGAGCCGCCTTCTTCGAAATTTTCAAGAAAAATGCCGATGAAAAATTCGCTCTCATGGAAAAATGTCTCTCCGTTCTTGGTGTTGAAAACGAGTTCGTCGCTGGAAAAGAAACTCTTGGAGACTACTACTGCGTTTTTTGGCTCATGTGCGCGGTCGATTGCGGGCTTGGTGAGTTTCCATAGTGATTCAAGAGCTAAATCATCTTTCAAGATGGTGAGTTGGAAAAGGCCGCTCCAACCGTCGTCAGAATCGCGAAAAACGTCATGTCGAAAAATCAAGCCGTCGAGAAATTCGCCAACAACAAGGAGACGAAATTCTGGCCCTGGTCTCTTACCAACTAAACTGCCAAACAATTTTGCAGCAATTTGACAAAATAAACTTTAGGCAATAAAAAGTCTTTTCGATTCAAATACTCATCAGAGCATACAGCAAAATAGAAATCATAGTCATTTTCGAATCGTTTGCGGTTGTTAAAGTTGTTGTTTCTTCGGTGGAATTCGTTTCCAAATCGTCTTTTTTCGAATCAATCAACTCTGGTCCAAGCAAAGTTGTTGATGTTGTCTCTATGCTCGGAGCGCTAGAAAAGAAATGTTTCATGCTGTTTTTTATGAAAAACCTTGTTGGAATAGGAACTTTTTCTCGAATCCACTCCTCGAAAAAGCTCGCTCTCGTATAAACTCCTGGTTTCTTTGGATCGCCGCATTTAGCTCCGCCGAAAGAGACGATTCCCGCCAGTTGTATTTCTCCATCTATTTGGCAGAAGAGCGGCCCACCACTATCTCCCTAGAAAAAATTGTGAAAGAAGAAATGAGCTTGTCTACCAGACAGCTGTCGGAGTTTGCATCGCTGTTTCGAGGCCGGTCGCCAAGGGCGCAAAATTGAGAGGCTTTTTTGATTGGCTTCCAGGCTTTGTTACAGGCTTCGTGAGTAAGTGGATTGACTGTAACAGCTTGAAGGCGTTGAGCGCTGAAGGATTTATTGCAATAGAATACAGCAATTAGTAGATTAGAGATGTAATTATTTCAGTGAAGACAAAGACGATGCGTGGACAGTAATTGGAACGCTAAATCTATCAAAAAATTCAAGTTAAGGGATAACTTAAAATTTAAACGCAAAATAACGATCTATAATTTATGATTTTTTAATTTTGGTTCTAGAGTCTCGACAATGAGTTCGCTTACATTGATCCAAAATTCGACGTCATTCCCCAACCAGCAACTTTGCACTCCTCGTTGATTCCAATATCCTCCGATCCGCTCTCCTTTATTTTGATAAATTTCGGAACCAGATCTTTCTCCGCTGGCTCAATTCGCAACAATCCGATGTCGTTGATGATTTTTCTGTTGTTGTAGTACTCATGGACATGGACTTCCTTCACTTGTTTTCTCTTGCTTCTGGGGGCGGAGGAGTAGATTTCAGTGGAGCCAAGGACGACGAAAAGATCTTCGAGGTTTCTTTTTGAGAGGTTTTCCAAACAATGAGCAGCTATAAACGATATAATGGGCGCTGATCTCTAGAATTTTCCTTTTTTAAGAGTTCATACCTGTTATGACGTATTCCTCATGAATAACCGCCCCACCACAAAGTTCCGTCCCAGCACTTGTTTCAAAAATAATCTGCGCCATCCATGGTAATTGGGAAATATCAACATCGATTCCATCTGAAGATGCAGTCTTAGGGAGCAATTTTCCTCACGCATGGTTGCGCCAAGCAATAAAGAATCTCAATTTTTATAGAAAACTTACTGATTATCCGCTGATCTTTTCGATAAAAAGCAAATTCAGCTGGCTTATTATCTGATTCTTCTGCTCTGGCGGAACAAATTGCGAAAATTATAAACGGTAGATGCATGGTTTTTTCTCGTTTTTCTCTCCTATCTGCTTTTTCTCATAAAAAAAGAGTGATTTTTTAGACCGGAAATGCTTTTTTCTGAAATGAAGCGAGTTGAACTCAGAATTTCACTTTATTATAAACTTGGCTTTTTTATATTTTTATGGCCTGCAATTGACAATTGTTATAATAAAAATCGTAGTTGCGATCATATTTGCATGCAAAAATCGAACAAAAGACACAAGAAAATTGATGCATCAATAAGTGTATTTGAAGATAGTTTTTTTTTAACTGCAGTAAAAGAGGATAAGCCCGGGATAAGATAAGAAAGAAGAAGATATAGAGAGAGAGTTTTAAATAAAATTTGGGTCCTAGCAAAAAAAAGTGTCACGTGATAAAGCAAAGAGAGGGAGAGAAAGAAAGCTTTTTTTTCCAAAAAGAAATTTAGGCAAAGAAATTTGTTTTGTTTGAGTTATACAGTTATGAAAATACAAACAGAAGAGTGCCAGCAGAATTTTGATGGCTCATGATTTTGAGGAAAAAAAGTTAAATTTTTCTAGGGACAAGTTTTGAGCCTAAAAATTCGACATTGCTGGCATTTTCTGACTGTATTTAGCGATTTGAATGCGCAAAAACTGTTTGGCTAAAGCTTCTCGCCAGCCAATCAGAAGCCAAGACGCGTTGAACAGCGCCTCCAAGCGGATCCGAGGGGCTAGTGATGTAGCCAATCAGATTGCTAGGGAGCGGATTGGCGGAAATCTCAAGCCAATCAGAATTTGACATTTGAAAATACAAAAAATCGAGGGGTTAAGAAAGAGAAATTACTAATAAATAAGAAAACCGGTCTTGTTTATAAAATCAAGGCTGGCTTTTTATTCGGGGGTTCGGCCCTTCATTCGCTGGTGCTGAATGGTGCCGCAGATGGTGATCGCAGTAATGATGATGAGGAGCGAGGCAAAGGCACCCTTGAGGCCGGCAGTTCTCATCGAGTGGCAGCCACCGTCGTCGCTTTGGGCGTAGTTCTTGGCGCACACGCACTCGTTTGGCTTGTAACAATGACCAACTCCCTCGCCACAAGAAACATCTGAAAGGAAATTTTATCTCGGAAAAAGAATCTTGCTGAGCACTGTGCTAATATTTATGTTTGTCTCAAACAGGGCGTTCCGAAAGCGGTCAAATCGGGATTGTCCTTGAGCGATAGCTTTTTTCGTAAAAATTTCCATGCAGATTTACGTACGCTCTTCGAATGTTCGATAAACCCACAGTTTCCAAGAGTTCCGCAAATAGTCAAGATCCGAAATCGATCTTGATCAATAAGTTTGACATTTAAAATATTCCGTCTGAAAGCTGGGCTTGGCAACCTGTGTAGAAAACCTGAGTCAGGCTTTCGCACTACAATAAGTCTTATTTTAAAACAACAGCAAAGCCGCTTCGCGGCTTCGTTTTCAAAAAAGCCGCTACGCGGCTTTTCATTTGAGCTCCTCAAAGCCTGACTCAGGTTTTCTACACAGGTTGCTAAACCGAGTCTGAAAGACAAAGTATCCCTTCTTGCTTGTAATTGAATAAGAACAGTACTTCGCTATCTTTGAATATCTTAAAAATCCACTCGCGTATCTATTTGCCAAGAAATAATGCGTGAAGAGAGCATCCGGTCAAGGGGGCAAACACAAGCGTAATTTTCACACATTCTTGCGTGAAAGCCTGGCAATCTGCCAGCGATCTTCTTACCGTTGCAAGTAGGCTCAGTGCAGTCAGGTCCAGAGTAGCCAGGAGCGCATCCGCCTGGGCATTGACCGGTTTTGATGTCGCATGGGGATCCGTTCGCACAGCAGCCGCAGAGGAGGGAAGCTCTGAAATGAATATTTTAAGAAAGGAACAAGAGAAACACGATTTCTAGAATTGTCTACTAGACAATTGTCTAGCCGACGAGACAAATTTTGTAACCAATAATTTGTCGCTTCGCGACAAATCGAGGAAAAGTCGAATCGTCTATAAATTTTGGTCGAAATTTTCGACTCGAAATGTCGACATTTCTGACGACAAATAAAGCAATGGATTTTTGATTGTTTTTCTTTCTTACCCAGATTGGCTGGTCCACCAGTTGGATGGGCAGGCGGGATCGTTCGCGGAAGCTACGGCTACGAGGGCGAGAAGAACACTTTTACTGGCTCATGAGGGCATTCAAATGGGAATTGTGCATTGCGTGGCGAAATTTGGCGCTATTTGCATTGTCATTTGCGGCAGATAGACAAGAAAATTCGCCGGCCGCGCAAACCAGGAGCATTTTGAAAACTTGCTCTATCAGCATAATCTTCCAAAAGATTATGTTTTGGTTTCATAAATCTTACAGAATCAGGCTTATTGAGCGATTGTTTTAAATACCATCTAATCCTTCAATTTTTGTATTTTTGCGTAATCTAATTTATTCGTATGTGCATTGACGGAAAAGAAGAAAAGATTTTCATCAAAAAAGAAGATTTGTCGGATTTAATTTGGAAACTCCGGTCACGATTCAATGGTTGTTTAAATCAATCAAGAGCTCTGTTTTTAAGATTGCGAAGGAGATACCCTTAACAAAGGATATTTGATAAGAAATGAGGAAGTCTGTCGATTCTTTGAAAAGCGGCTCGAGCTCGCTTTGCGTTTTTACTTAAGGGTACTACCATCGATTTCCCAAAAGTCCGAATATGATCTTTTGATATAAGAAATGGATTCTACGTGCAATTTTTGGCTAAAAAAGGTCTTCAGTTTTTAGTGAAATCGAAGGGAGCACCCTTAAGTCGCGACCCTAACCCTTAACCTTAACTCTAACCCTTATCCTCATAATTCGCTGGTTAGGAAAAATAAATTAAAGAGAAATGATTCTTTCCAAGATAAAGTATCTTCTCTAAGCAGACATGAAAGTTTTAGTTGAAAGGTATTTTGAGCCAGTACCCATAGAAAGTTTTCATCTGTTGCTGAAAGATTTGGAGTGGAGGATTGTCTGGAACGAGAGAAAAAGTGGAAACGAACGCCGGTGTATTAAACTGCGAAATTTACTCTAAAAGGACGAGATTTTGAGGCGGCGCGGACGGGTTAAATTTTAAACCGCGCATTTGCAAATTTACACAATCCAAATAGACCGCTCTCCGGACATCTTTTTTGCGTATTGCAATAAGCCATTTTGGAAAATAATTTTCCGATTTCCGAAACCTCGTCATTTTATTCTGAAAAGTTGCTTCTTGGGAAAAGAGTGGCCCTTGAGAGTTTTCGAGTTGAGGAGGATTTATAGAATTTTCTGATCCAGTTCATAAGTTGGAGAAGTTGAAAATTGCATCGTTTCTTGGACCTCTAAGAAATGGAAGGCCGGATTGATAAAGTTTAGGGTCGACGAAAATCGGGATTTCTTTAACCAAAGATGCGAGAAAACCTGATAAGATAGGCGAAATCTGAAATAATTGCAGAAACGAAAAGGGTTGAAAAAATCCAGCGGCGAGAAGCATAAAAAATTTTAGCGAAAAAAGTCGGTCAAAAATAGCGTCAAAGTAGGGCCATATTAAATGGCCCATATCGCGAAAATTCGCGGACCCCCCTTGTGAGTCAAAAATTTTCCCGATTCTGGAGTATATTTTATAATTATTTATTGTTTTACAGATGAATATCAGGTTATTCATTGTCAGAAAAAGCCATTTTTTATGTCAATTACAAGTCTGGGGATTATGCAGTTCAGAAACACAGGAGCAGCTGTCAATGATGAAATATTCCTCGCTCGTGAATGGCTTAACATAAACATTGAACAATTTGTTATCAAAAAATTTTCGATTACCTTTCCGAAAACCTCGAAAATGATCGGCGTTCTCGAGGCCGGATGGCATTGTCCGCCATTTCTGCAAGTTCCAGCGCAGGAGCCAATGTCTAGAATGCCGAAAGCGCCGGGAATTTTAATGTCGCTTGGGTGGATTTGCAGCTTTTTTGAAAGATGGAGTCGGAGGCTTTTGACGGACCAGGGGTTGGAGGATCGCTGGCAGCGCTGATTGCATCGTTGATTCTAAAGAAAAATGCATAAGTTATGGGCAAAGAAAGATGTTCTTCTTACCGTTTCATGCCGCTGCACTCCGAAAGAAAAGGCATCAAGGGTCGTTATAAGAGTCAAAAGAATGATTCCTGGATTCATTTTATTTCTTCTTTTTTGCAAAGTTTGAAATCGATGCTAGATTCGCAGGTTGGGCCGGTTTTTATGTTCAGAAAATCCGCAAGATGGCTCGTCTCATTTTACGTATTTTCGATTGAGTGATGAGAAGATAGCACAATCAGCATAATGATCGAGACACATAGCGCCTATCTTGATGGAGGATGGTTACGATTCCATTAAATAACATTTGTCCTCGCCGTGATCTCGAAATATAGATAGGCTCATTCGAAAGCTCTTAAAACGGGCTTTCTCTTCGGAAGATTTGTCGGAATTTTGCGGTTTTGCTTGCCCAACTCTGATGGGTTTGATTTCCTAGAAAACCTTGACCAACCATAAAAAGCCTCTGACAAAAGTAAGATCTAGCTCTACTCCTATAAACGAGCTATTCTAGGCACTTCTAGCATTTGTCATCTCCCAGGAATACCCTCAAAGTCGGCCAACTCGACCTTGGTAGCCTTCAGAAAGCCCCTCGTAAGAGCTTTTGAATGAGCCTACTCTCGTCTCCATAAGAGGCTCATTTGAAATGCTGAAATAGTTTTTTTTTGATAATCATTCAAATCAGTTAATAAAAAAATATAAAGAGGAGGTTCTTATGTTCACTTTGCAATTGCATTTGGAAAATTTCGTTGATGATTTCCTTGGCGATAAGGATGTTGCGATAAGAAATAGATGAGCCCCACTCGAAGTCAAAATTTGGGCTGACAAGTGAAAACTCGAGTGGAGACATTTCAAAATCAGACAGGCCATGTCCGACAAGTTCCAGCCGGTAACCGACACTTGACCAGTGTCAGGAGTCAAGATCCGCTTCTTTACCAGTGATTTTTTATCTTCGACTTTTTATTTTCAGAAAAACGTTCTTTTGAATAAATAAATTTGGACACGAATGAATCATTCGGAATGATATTCAAACTCGGCAACGCCTCTTTTTATACGGCTTTCTTAGGTTAATCCAATTTATAATTTCGGAGTATAAATCATCCATTACTTCAATATTACTCAAGAACCCGATTACCGTTAAACGAACCGATGTAGCACCCTCAAAAGAAGCTTCTCGTAGGAACAGAATCTTATCGACAAAGATTCCTTTTGCGGCTCATCTTCGTTGAGCAAAGCTTTTAATTGAGCTAAGCTCTGCAGACAACCTATTTAATGAAATAAATTGAGCTGAGCTCCGCCTTCGCCTAACTAGTCTAGACCAGAGTTGCAAATTTGCTGAGCTGGCTCAGCTCAGTGGTTTTTGAATTGATCTGATCTGCTCAGCTCAGCCTAGACAACTTTCACTCAGCTCAGCTCAACTCAATTATTTTCGAACATGATCTGTTCTGCTCAGCTCAGCTCAGACAATTATCACTGAGCTCAGCTCTGCTCAGCTCAATGATTTTATCAGAATTTAACTACTAAAAACATAGTTAAATCAGCTCATCTCACCTCAAATCAAGCAGCTCAGCTCAGCTCTTATTAGGTTCTGCTCAGCTCAGCTGAGCTTAACTACCTTGAAAAAATGTCTGTTCAGGTCAGCGAAGCTCAATGATCTCAGAAAAAGGCCAGCTCAGCTCAGTAACCTCTTTGATAGGCCAGCTCAGCTCAGCTGAGAGAAATTTTTACTCAGGCAAGCTCAGCTCAGCTCAGCAAAAATAAAGCAAAATTTGCAACTCTGGTCAAGACTGACCTGAGATTTGCATAACTAAGCTGAGGTGAGCTTTTTTGAGCAGAGCTGCGCTAGGCTCGGCAAACTGTGTAAAAAACTGAGTCAGGGTCAGAAAAACCGCTTAAAATTCAAAAAATTAAATGATTTGTAAATTTCCTTGACCTAAGAGAATATTACGGTAAAGCACGATTCCATTTCTAGCTCAACGTGATAATCTCCCCGCGTTCAATTGAAACGAGGGTTCTTAAATCGGCTCCAAGGGATCAAACTCAAATTTCAGCCGAGTAGTTGGAGGTGTTTGGAGTACATCCTCTCAAATCCGGCGATTCGTGATTTCTCGGTTTTCGCGCTCTGCCGCCACCGCCGAAATTTTTTTCAAAAGCAGCTGAATATTTTTTAGGTGCAGTGGCGGAAATATCGAATCAAACTTACCGGATTTTTTTATTTATAAAATTTAAAGGAAGATGAAAAGAAGCGAGGCAAAATTAATTTGGGAGAAGAAAAAGAAGAGTAAAGAGACTTCATGGGCTTACTTGCTGATTTGTTTTTGGCCATTACAGGAATGTGTTACAGCTGTTTTTCAACAAATGATAAAGGAGGAATTTACATAATCCTTGATTTCAACTCTAAGGTTTAGGTTTGTCTATATTATTTTTGGTTAAATAAAAACTATCTTTATCGTAAAGATATGATCTTTATATAAATATCTTTTTATTGGGCTTTACATAAATTCAACCTTTATCTTTCAATAATCAAAAGATAAAATCAAAAAATAAAAAGTTGATATGAAGCTTTTGATTATGAAAAAAGATTAAGGATAAGTTTACGTAAGGCTCGATAAAAAGATGTTTTACGGATGACAAGGAAAAATTTTTCTATTTTCGTATTATAATCACGCACAAATAACAATGGTAATGGGAATATTCCCGAGCACGCGCAATTACAATACTGTGGTAGAGAAAGAGCCTTTCTAAGGTAATGGACTGGGCAGTATGTAGGGCGTGTGCTCGTTTTACCCTACATGTACTGCTTATTTCAGGGATGGTGGGCGGGAGAGTCTTTTTGATTCAGCTAGGAGTCTTATTGGTAATGCTTCTGCTGAGAAAAAGGCTCGATTTAAAATTCCTCGTTTTAGGTTTTAGCTGTAGGCTAAGAACCTTTCGAATGAACCTGCGTGATTCCGGGGCACCCGCTCGAAACCAGGTGCTCTCGGGCGCCTTTGACACCTTCCGCCGCCTCCTGGGAATCCCTGCCTCTGGTTACTAGGCTTCCTGCCGCGTTCTATTTCTAGCGGGCTGCTAATCCCTTGTCCTAGATTCGTATTATAATCACGCACAAATAACAATGGTAATGGGAATATTCCCTCCCTACCATTCTCGTTATTCTCGTCAATCGATGTCTAAGGATTCTAATTTGGCAGGAAAAAAGGATGGAAAGACTCTTTTTCATGTTGACAGCGTCATCTGTGGACTAGGCTTCAGTTGTTTTCTGTTTCTTTTGCTCTTGATTGGCTTCTTGTGGTTCTTGGGGTATCTGAAACCTTTTTAAATGAAGGAGTCTCCCTTGTCATGCAGGTTTTTACCTGAAGAGAGTTGTCTTCGTTGTCGCTTCCGTTTCGCTTTCTGGCTCTTGATTTTGCGACGCTGACTGGCGCTCCCAAATTGCTGCACTCAAGCCAGCATCTTTCGTAGTAGTCCGGCATCGAGCTTCCTGGCGCCCAGCGGAGCGTGTGCGCGAGCGTTTGTTGAGAGAGGCCAGAGCGTCGTCCTTCGATGTAGAAACTGACTCTGCCTGAATGTGCGGAAACCTGAATTGGATTCTTACGGTACGTGAGGATTTTTCGTTATAAACCTTCTTAGAGAGTCCTGCTTTGGCTCCATAGCGGGCTAAGTAGTCCGAGGCGATTCTGGTGTGACCTTCGAGAGTCTTGAGGACGAGTCCTGTCGAAAAAATTTAGCTTAGGGTAAGTCGGATTCGAATTTTACCTGATTCTCGGTCTCTCACTTGTGCTCGGAGCTCGAGAGCTAGCGGGACGCCGTGCTTCATTTCCATTGGAATGGTGAGAGTCTCCATGCGTTTGCAGAATGGGTCCGTTTTGCTGGTTCGGATGTGGAATCGCCAGAATTCTTTTCCGTCTTCTTTGACGCTTTCGCGATCTTCGATTCTGAGGTTGAGGGCCTCCTTCATTCTGGAACCCGTGGTGAAGCAAATGAAGAAGGCGATAGCTGCTTCTCTTGGCTTTGGCTTGTTTGTTTTCATAAGCTCTTCCCACAACTGAATCGCTTCGGGCTCGTCGACGACTTCCGCTTGCTTAAGGAAAGGGTTATCGCCTAGGGGAGCGGAATTGATTTACCTTGGGGTATTGGAGTGTCTCGGCTGCTGATTCTCGAGCTCTGTGCTCGCACCAGGTCTTGATCTTCCTTTTCTGTTTGGCCGTGAGAGTCTTCTTCGTTTGAGACGCGATTACGTCTTGAATCGTTGTGATTCCTTTTTCGTAAGCGTAGGCCTTGAGTATTGGTCTGGTGAGGAGCCTGTCGAGAAAATGCTGAATCACGTCGTCGGTCTCGGCTTCGTCGTAGCTGAAGGTAGACATTGCTTCCGCCACTTCCCAGTGCTCCAGAAGATTCTTGTAGTCGAGCCAAGTCATGAATCTGAATTGAGTCTTTTCGGGCTCGAGCTTTTTAGAGGGCCTGAATGTTTTTAAGTGTGAAAAGCTTTTAAAGATTGGCAGTGGTTTTGAAAGAGAGAAACTAGGCGAAAAACTGCGCACTGCCAGGGGCTATTCTTCGCTTAAGAAGTGGATTGATTCTTAAAGAGAGTCTTTGGGATTATTCGACTCCGCCTTGGTCTTGGAACTTCTTAGTGTCTCCTCCTTGATTGCTTCCACCGCCGCGGCCTCGCCCGCGGCCTCGTCGGCCTCGCCCGCGGCCTCGGCCTCGGCCTCCCGAATGTCCGCTTCCTTCGGGGTTGAATTTGGGGCTCGCATTTTCCCCTTGATGGTCCGTTTTCTGCTTCTTGCTTTGGCCGCCATTCGAGTGTCCTCCTCGACGCCCACGGCCTGGTTTAGAGTCTTTTTCGGTGCGCCAGTCCTCTGAACCATCGCAGGGGTTAATGATCATCTTCTTGAAGGTCGGATGAGTCGTGTTCATTGTCATGGCTCTGTCGAATTGGTGGCGCACGTTTGGGCGCATAAGCGGCTAAAGTGGATTATGAGTCGTGTGTGTTTTTTTTTTGAATTGTAGGTTTACCGTGAGGGATAGAAGCGCGTCTTTGCGGGTCATGTCCGGCATTCGAATCAGTTCGTCGACGACGCTTTCGATGATCGCCCGCTCGGTGTATTCGGGAGTCATGGCTCTCTTGTAGTTTCCGAGCAACTTCAGGAGCTTTTCTCGTCTGAAGGTCCGTTGAGTCTTGGCATCCGTGACGAACGCTCGGAATTCCTTGCCCATGTCTCGGAGGGAGTCTCCTTCATCTTGTGGAAGGCTCGTTGAGCCGACTTGAGTCTGAAAATTAGGATGTTAGATTTTTTTTTCTTTTTCTTTTTACTATTTATTCTTACCATGAAATAGGATTCTACACCCGTGAGCGGGTCCTTTTCCTTGAAGACCGCTGCTGACTCGGTCGTGTTTTGGGAGAGCTCGGTGATTTTCGTTTCTCGAGCTTTGATTTGGGCGAACATGGACCCCTTGAGGCTGTAGCGCTCCATCTTGTCGGCAATCAGGCGGCGGAGTTTAGATTCTATTTCCGATGGATTCCAACGGTCATAAAATTTGTTTTCCTCCTCCGATCGCTTTTTGGCGTTGGGCTCTCGTTTTTTGATCTCGAGACTCTTGTCGCGGTTGGCTTCGAGTTCCGCGATCTCTTTCTGTAATTAAGAGGGAGTTCTTTCTGCGTTTGGTGGAGATTACTTACAATGAGGGAGTCGGTGAGCTTATCGTGAGTCGCCATGTCTTTTCTGATGTCCTCAATTTCCACGATGAGTCGATCAGCCTCTTCCGTTTGAGCTTGAGTCTTTGAATGCTCGTAGAATGCTGCCTTGGTGATCTGGACTCTGACCGCCCGCGTCTTCGCTTCCTGCTCCGTGAGCTTCGTGTGGTCAGAAAGAAGCTTGGAGAGGGTTTTGGTCTGTTCCGCCATTTTTTCAATTGATTCCGAGTCTAAAAACAGAGGGTTTGAGAGTCAGATTTGTGTTTTCCGTGAATTGGATGAATGGTGAATCTAAGAGAGAGGCTGCAGAGCTTCAGAGTCTATTAGCAATAATTTTTATGGTTGAGATGTTTGTCGCGACTTTCCAGTAGCCTTCAGCAGTTTTTATTTTTGAGGGCGTGAGGATGGAATCCGCCGGTATGTCAAAGATTCTGTAGCCTTTGAGTCTTGCCTGTGTTACCACTACAGGTTCGGCTTCAAGCATGGCACCACCAGAGCCCAGGGCGTTGCTATTTCGGTGAGTCTGTTGTAGTATTTGTGAGAAATCTTCGGAGGCGGGAACGCATACAATTTTCTTCCGATAAGTGCGTGGATTGGGAAGCTTAGGAAGTCTTTTCCAAAGGCTCCTTTCGTCTCTCGGCGTGCGATGAAGTCTCTGCATTTATTGTTGAGTGGCTGAACGGAATGGAAGTTTATTTGCGAGTCCGCTTCGCTGTTTGAGTCTTACCGTTGCTGCCACGTCGATGTCGAGCGGATCCCGGAGGTGAGATTGGAGATAAGCGAATCCATTTGCCGTTAGTTTTTGCTCCCTCGAGTCCAAATCCCTGGAAGGAGCGTCAGCCAGCTGCTTCTTTGTGCTGACCCAATCGACCTTCATGTCTATGTTGAAGCGATGCGCCAGAGTCCAGATTCTCACTAGAATCCGATTCATTTCCGGGTCTTTGCTACCCGCTATCGCTCCTTGAACCACACTGTCGTTGTCGCAGAGGAACAGCGCTCTCTTGTTCTGAAGCTTCTGACCGTACCACTCGAGTGTGTATTGGATCGCGAGGGCTTCTTTGATACCGATGTGTTTGTCTGCTACGTCCGGCTCCCACGCGAATCTTTCTTCTAGCTTCCAGTGCTCGATGACGATGGCTCCTGCGTGCGAAGAAGCGTCTGTGTATATTATGAGACCGGTTTCTTGTCGATTTAATTTGGTCCAATGCCTCTTGAGTCCTTTTTCTTCCAGAAGATTCCAAAGTCTCCATTCCTCTCGGACTTCTTGAGTCAGAATACAGGATTCTTTTTCATTCCTGATGGCTTCACTGATGAGGATTGTTGTTTGACGGATGAGCATTCTCATGTTCGGGAGGACTTCCGCCATGCTTGCCATTGTGCCTCTGATTCTTTCCAGTGTCCGCGTCGGAATTTCTGCCTCTGCCTCGGCATCTCTCATGAGATTCTTTAGGGCTGACCATCTTTGAATTGGTATCTCTACCGTCTCGTTTTCCGTGTCTAGAATGAAACCCAGGAATTCTATTCTCTGGGTAGGCTCGAAGGTGCTTTTCGCGATGTTAACATAGCCACCTAGAGCTACTAGCGTCGCTACCGTTGCCCAGACTTCCTTGCTGGTTTTTTCTCCCGACAGCAGCTGGCGGCGTTCTTCCTCAGATTCCGGAGTAACAGCCAAGAGTCTGTCGTCCAAATAGAGCGTGATTTTGATTCCGTTTTTCCTCAGGAAATTGACTCCACACAGATTCATGAGTTGGTAGATTCCGGGCGCGGCTGGGATTCCGAATGCTAGAATATTGTTTCTGAAATATTGGCCTCCCCATTCGAAGCAGGCGAGTTTCTTGCTCTCTTCGCTTAGCGGGAGCTGGTGGAATCCTAGATTTGAGTTTTTGGTTCTGAAGTTTTGCTGCTGTTTTACCTTTTTTATCGTCGAATTTGTACAGTAGATCCCCTCTTTTGAGCATCTGAATCGCTGTTCCAATGCCTTCCAATTTACACGGGAACGTGTATAGTTGAAGCGGTTTGAGAACTCCACCGTTCCAGCAGACTCTTGTCTCTCTGCCTGGCTTGTCAACCAGAACGAATCCCGCGCGGATCCAGCATCCTTTGGCTTCTGTGACTCTTGTTACTGAGCCCATTTCGCACCAGTCGGTAATTTGTTGGGCAATCTCGTCGCTTCTTTCTCTTACAGCTTCCTGACTCGGGATTGTGAGAGTCTTGAATCGCTTGCCGATTTTTTCGTATGGCCGAGGCACAAATTTTGAGAGTCTAAGTCTGTGGTTGTACCATGTTTTGAAATTTCCGTCCATCTTCCTAAGGGTGTCCGCGTTGGCTGAGTTTCTTTTCCAAATAGTTACCAGTTCCTTTCGCTTGAATTTGACTGGCTTCTTCGGCGGTATTCTTTTGAGATTCAAAAATAGGTCTGCTCCGGCGTGGACAAAGTGGTAGATGAGAGGCTTTACTTTCTCGGGCATCTGATGGATTAAGGCTCTCCAGTTGTCTTTGTTGTGGGTCCATTGGCCGGCGATGAAATCGGATTCTTTTTGAGCGTCAGTTCTCTCCAGTCGGGCTTGATCTCGTTATTTAGGACTTTTATGACTCTGTGAAGCAGATCTGTCTCGTAGACTCTCCATTCAGGTAAGGATTTTGGGCCGGTGATTGAATCATTGTGAATGTTTACTGGGTTTATGATTGGGAATCTGAGTTTATTGAAGATCCCTTTGCTCGCCATGGCCTGCATCTCTGATTCGATTGTTTTCCAGCTCTTCGTCTTCTTCGTTTGCTCTCTTTCGTTTGAATCCCGCGGTTGTGCGGGCGGACTCATAGCTTCTCGGAATCGGGATTTTCCAGAAGAGTTTCTCGTATGTGGTGCCGTAAAGTGAGGATGGATCTTCGAGTCCTCTTTCGAGGCGGTTGTCGATGTCGTTGAGATTGAGGGCTCTATATTCAGCATCAGCGATGCAATCTCTCGGTGGCCAGATTCTGCGCAGCGTACGGATTGCGTCCCAGGCCGTGTAATCTTGATTCGAGTCAATGTTCGTTAAGAACTCTTTGAGCGTCAGACTGATGGGATTCGATGCTCCGCAAAGCGTGTTAAGGTGGGTCCATGCTGATCTTGCTGCACTTGATAGGAGTCTTGGAAAGATGCATCGCGTGTTCGTTATCTGGAAAAGGATTTCTCCAAATATTGAGTTGGCGATGGAGATGCTGAGTTGTCTTTCGTTCGCGAAGGAAGCGTGTCTTTTGTCCGGGCTCAACTCTAGAATCTTTTTGAATCTGATGTTCCAAATGTGAGCTATGAGCGTCATTCTTGGTGATGCTCGAGAGTTGAGGTTTTCTGGTGGCTTGCATCTCGCTAAGATCATTCTGAAGATGGCTTCTGCAGATTCATTCCAGAGCCTTCCCAAGATCCAAGCCGCGGCCTCTTCTAGCTTCCGAAGATCATCTTTTGAAACTGAGTCTCTTTCCAGTGGCTCCATCATTTTGGCCCAGAAGGTTATTTCCGCCGAATTGTAGACGCTAGAAGCGTGGACTTGCTTCATAAGCTTCTCCACTACAGGTCTGACTGTCAGTTCCAGCGTGTCTTGAATCGTCTCTAGCTCCACCTTGTTTGTGGACGCTAGTCTTCGGTTGATTCCTATGGATGGGCTGTGCGCGATTATGGCAATGGTTTGGAAGGCGTCTAGCAGTTGGATTCCCTGGAGACCCTCATGCTCGGCTTCTTGGAGGATCGTTTTCATAATTTTTGAGGCCTCTTGGGACTCAGAGATGATTTTGGCAGCTTCTGTTGCTAGATTATTGATCTTGTCATCCAGCGTCTCGCCGTAGCATAAGATTCTTTTTGGTGGGATGGAAGCGTTTGTGTTGAGGCTGTTTTGGATGTCCCAAACGAGCCCTTTGAGTCTCTCCAGGTTCACGCTAGTGCCTTGCCCTTGCTGAGGATTCTTCGAGTCAATTTGGCTCTCGTTTGGCGGGCTTTCCGGTTGGTCCGAAGGTGGAGCTTCGTCGTTCGAGTCTTCTTTTTAGGGGCTCTTTTTTTTTTAAAGTCATTGGTTTAGGGGATTCTGGCGTTTTGTGACTCTTTGTTGCCCTGGCCTGACTCTGAAGGTAATTTATATTCCTCTGGCGGCTCTGCATTTTGACTCTTCATTCTGAATTTTTGGCTCTTTTAATTTGGCGAATTTTCATGTATTTTAATTACAAGATTTTTTATCTTGTAGCTTGAGGATTTACGGTTTAGATTCCTATTTTATGATGCTTCGAAGTAAAGAGGCGAGGATCTTCTGATGAGATCGAATTATTTATTATGTACAGCTTTTGGAATTTGGAGAATGGAAAGAGGTAAGTTCTGTTTCAATGTTTTGAGGAAAAAGGCAGTATGAGTCTAAGAGTCTTGTAAGAGTTTCTTCTCTTCTTTTTCTAGTAGTGGCGTGGAGGTTTTGGGGCGGCGTCTGAGTGCACTGGGGGAATCGGGATGTCGTGGAGTCTGAAGAGTCGGACGAACACGAATCGGACGTAGTGGACCAGGTTTCCGCCGCAGATCTTGTAGGCAAAGACGAGGATCGCGTCCATCTTGGCCGGGTTGAGGAGTCCAGTGTCTAGAAATGAATTAGATTCTGTATTTTCGATGTTTAGAGATGCTCTTACCTAGTGCCTCCTTGAATCTTCGTTTGATTCCTTGGTAGTTGAGGGATTCCACCAAGTAATGGACCACTCGTCGTTCCTCTGCGCTGAGTCTGGCGACTGGATCCAGCTTCCAGTTTTCGGTGCCTTCTTTGATGGTCCAGCCGGATCGGAGGGTGTACTTGTAGTGGCGGTGGCCCGGGTTTTTGGAGTCTTTGAATTTGAGGAGTCCTTCGCTGTTGAACCAAGCTTGCCTGATTTCTTCGAAGTTCTGGATTTGGCGATTATCGAGCATGGCTCGGACTTATTTTGGTTAGCCCAGTTCTTTTAGACTCTTTTTTGTTTGAAGAAGTTTTTAGCTAGTTTTGCTGTGCTAACCGATCCTGAGATTCTGCTCATAAGCTTCGCTTCCTTCTTCGACAGGTGGTAGTGATTCCCTCTTCTGCCGGTTTCTGCGACGAGCCTGATTCCAACTTCTGGTTTGGTGAGGACTTTCTCTTCGTCTGCCTTGATGGCTGCTCGGCGTCTTTCTTCTGCTTCTTTGTCTTGGGCGAGGCGTCTTTTCTGAGCTTCTTCTTCCTCCTTCTTCCGCTGAATTTCCTCGTGGTATTCGCGTCGGATTCTGGTGTTTTCATCCACTTGTCGCTGCATTCGGAGTCTGATGGCTTCTCTGGCTCTCGCTTTGTCCTCCTGTTCTTGCTTCAGCTTCTGAATCTTCTCGAACTCTTCTTTCTGGAGTCGTCTTTCAGCTTCCGCTTTTTCCTTCTGCTCCATTCTGACTGATGCGTTGCTTTCGGATTCTTCCTTGATGTCTTTGAGCGGCTCGTTCCATTGGGCAGCGATTCTGACTCGTCTTTCTTCTGCTTCTTTCTGCTCCGCCGCTGACTCGAAGAGTGTGTCTGTGCGTCTGCTCCAGTCCTGTTGTTCTTTCTGGGCTTGAGTCTCTGGGAATCCGACTGTAGCTTCATCTTCTTCTCCGCCGGATTCTTCCATGATTTCTTCGTCTGAAGAAAAGCCATCTTCGGAGTCTACTGGAGCATTTTGGCTGGCCGGAGGCATGAGTTGAGTCGGGTCTTTTGGGTGGAGTCTTTTGATTGTTACAATTTTAATATGATTCTCTTTTTATGTGGTTACTTTTGCTCGACTTTAAATGTTTAAGAATTCTATGACTCCTTCCTGAACGGGCGTTGTACGAGTCTTCGTACAGATCTGGTTCTGAGACGCTGTCTGCCTCTTCGTTGTTGGCCGAGTCTTGTGCTGGAGCAGGGTCTGGTTGCTGAGTCTGAGTCGAAACTGAGGAAGTTGGATTCTCCGTCTGAGTCGCCGAGTCTGCCGAGTCTGAATCTTTTGGCTGAAAGAGGGTTTTGAATTGGCTTTTTAATGGATTTTTGATAATTTTGGATTCTTTGAAATCAGGACTGATTCTATTTTTTGAATTGGCCTAAGTGAGTCAAAATAGAAAGGCCAAGAGCTCATCCACCCTTTCTTATGTGGATTTGTTTTATGGTGCGTCATTTTTTCTATTAATTTTTATTCGAGTTTTAATTCCAATTTTTATTTTAAATGAATCTCTTTTTTTTTCTTTGAGATTCTTTCAGCCTTTCCTTGGGTGGTTTGGGATTCCTGGCATTTTGCCTGCTGCGCTTCCACCGGGTGAGTCTGAGTCATTCCGTCTCGTCGCGACGTCCAGCCGATGGTCCTTGAATCGCGTCTTGCCAGCGTAGCTGCAATGTCTTTGGGGACTCCATCGCTGACGTACTCGTTTCGTCTTTGCTTCTTCCAGCTACGCAGAGAGTCTTTGCCATCTTTGGGGAGTCGATCTTGGCGGAGGAGAAAGTCCGCTCTTGACTTTTGAAAGGGTTTTTTAAAGTTGTAAGGCTCGACTTAATGTGTAGAGTTTTAATTTGACCCTTTTCCTTGAGAGCTGAGACTCTTTCTTGATACGCTGGGAGTCTTCCTTCCGGGATCACGAGTGACTCCTCAATGTAGACGATGTTGAGGAGCGGGTGGACGTCCATGGCGGCTTTGGCGGCGTTGAGGCAGCCGTAGAAGAGACTCTGGTCTGACTGGGCTCGGTCGTCCTCGGCGATTTTCTGGTTTTCTTCGCGCACGAGCTCGGAGAGGACTCGGGAGATGTCGTTGATGGATTTCTGCCAGCCATCGAGGGACATCTGAGCGTTGGGGTCGGTGAGTCCTTTAATGAGGGTCAGAATTTTAATAGAAGCCGATTCTAAGGCTTGAGAGTCTGTTATGAAAATTGTTCTTCAATATTTAAAAAATTTTCTTTTTTTTTAAGTTTCTTTTTCTTTTTATTTTCTGACCCATTCCTTCGACCATTTGCTCGAGAAGATTTTTGAATCTGTCTCCAATCTTCAGTCTGAGTCGAATGAGCATTCGTCCCTTCGATTCCTGCGGGAACTGAGTCACCGGGTCCATCTTGATCGCCGATTTGATCTTCCTCCAGTAGTCTGGCTCGTCGATCGGGTTTTTGGTGATTCCGGCTTCCTCTCGGAGTCTTTCGAGCTCTTCAGCGTCGTGAATCTGTGCGTCTTGTGCGTCTCGGGTCATTTCTAGAGTCTGAAGAAACGCCTTTGTTAGCAAAGAATCGAAATTTTGGTTTTGGCTAGTTTTGTTTGGAGGAGCGCAAGGAAAATTTGAAAAGAAAGAGCGAAATTTTAAAAAGAAGCACGAGAAAAAGAGTCTAAATTAAGATCCGGAAGGGAAGAATCTTTTTTTTTTTTGATTCTCTGGTTTCGACGCGTCTGATTCTAGCGGAATCCAGTGGTTTTTCTCTTTATAAAGGGCTCTGGGTGATTCTCTTTTTGTTGGAGAAGAAATGAAGCTGATTTAGGCAATTTTCGCTTGAGCCCTGGCTTATCCTGGCTCGTTTTGGTGCTCCGCCAATCAGCGCGCTCTATTTCGTGAGTCAACTTTGCAACTTTCCCACGGTCTCCAATTTGGATTTTATGCTATTTTGATTCAAATCTTTAGATTCTTGAGACCATTTCCTGATTCTTGTGCTCTTTCGGATCTTTTTTGTGGAGATTGGTGGTGGAGGTGGTGCGCAATTCGAGGAAAAAGTGTTTTTCTCTCGTAAGACTCTTTTTCTGTGATTTTTGCTAATTGAAAGTGAAGTAGATTCTTTTTGCGTGAGAATTTATCAGATTTAGCGAGTCTTTTCCTGAGGTTGAAGATTCTTGAGCTTGTTTGCGGCAGAAAAGGGGGGGTTTTGGGCGATTTTTGAGTCTTTTCGAGGGCTCCGAGTCTCTTTTTTTTTCACTTTTTCTTTGGAAATTTCTGATTCTTTTGGGCCCTTTTCCTGACTGTATTTTGGTGAAGTTTTTGGAGTCGTTTTCTAGTCGCTTCCCGTGGCTTCAGCGACATTCAGACGAGCGAATCGTTCTTCGATGTTTTGGCGGTCTTGAGACCAGACGTTCGGGAAGAGATTCTCGACTTTGGCTTCCTCTCCGTGGTCTAGGTCAAGATTCTCCGCTGCCTTGATTCCGTCGAGGATTATGTCCCTGATGTGGGTCGTGAACGGTGCGTCTGGGGCTAGAATGTGGGTTTTGGCCGTCACATTCTCCCAGGTTGTTCGATTGGCTCTTATTTTGAGCTTGTCTATTTTCGAGACTGCTCGGTTTTTAGCGTCGAAGCCGTTGCAGCATCTGACCATGGTTTCCGCCACCCTGGGGTGTGCCCAACACGGGGTAAATGCAGATTCGTAGTCCCCATCGCAGGCCATTTGGAAGATTTCCCAGAGTCCCGAGATTCTTGGGTTTTTGTCCCCTTGGAGTGTTCGATGAAGATTCTTCGTTGGGCCCTGGGTGACGAATTTAACGTAGGGTGCCGACCAGGTGACGAGAGCTTCTCTGAGTTTTTTGGCGTCTTTTTGTGAAGGGAGAATCAGCACTGTGTTTTTCTGGCATGTGAGTTCGCTGATAATTTTCGCCACTTCCATCCATTTGTCTCCAGATTTTTTGGAGATAGAATCCGCCAGTCTCGGGAGATGTTGATTCTTTCTGGTTGAGGTGTTCCCAACTACGAAAGCGTCGAATTTTCCTCCGCATCTTTCTAGCCCTGCGTGGTAGATGACTATTCCAGCTGCTCCCGGATTCTCGAATCGTGGTCTTTTTAAGACTCTTCCGAACTTCCGGAGGCTTTCGCTGAGGTTCGCTGCTGTGTCGTTTTCTCCCTGAAAAAGGATTGCCGTGGATTTCCAAGCGTTTACGAGAGAGTCGAATCCTTCGATTACGCTGGTCTGGATTCTCTGGATGAGGTCTTCGCCAGCGTCCTTTAGCATAGTCGTTTTGAAAGATTCGGAGAGTTTGTAGAAGGTTTCTTGCCATTCCTCGCTGTCGATGGACATTTTTGTGCCCTGGGGGAGTCCTTTCTGTATGAAGCCGTTTGCGACTCGGCATTTCTCTGAGCAGTCTGGTTGGCGAGATTCTTTGAGTTCTTGGAATCCTTGATGTGTTTTACACCAAGTCGTGCTCGCTTCCGCTTCCCCACACATTGGCCATTCGCACGATCTTTCTCTCTTTTCTGGTTGTTCTCGAAGGAATCTGAGTCTCGTGACTCCCGTGACTTCTTCTCTTTTCTGCATCCAGGTGTCGATGAAGTTGTCCAGAGTCTTGTTCGGGCTGAATCTTTTGCCATTTGCCCAGTTCCAGCCAGTTGATAAGATTCCGAGGTTATGCTCAAGTGAGCGCAAGTGAGAATGGGCTTTTGTGTCTCTTACAACCTTGGCGATGATTTCCAGGATGATCTTCTGAGTTCGAAAGGGGCGGTTGACTCCGACTAAGCAGGCTCCTGAGGCGTAGAAGTTTCTTGTTGGCTTCTGGAACGCCGAGATGCATTCTTTGACGTTTTGGGTGGTCCAAGGTTTGGAGGCTAGCTTCTCGAGCGCCTCTGATTCTAACGGCGTGAGCGCTGGGTGGGCTGCAAGGGAGAGGAGGGATTTCGCTTTGATAAAATCAGAGTCCTCGCCGTAGTTGAAAACCCATATTTGAGGTACGACTTTGTAAGGAATCCACAGGATCCAGTGGGAATCCCCTTTTCCAACTTCTTTGACTCTAACCGTGGTATTAATCGGGTTAACTTTTTTCGCCGCTGACTCCAGCCACTTTTTGAGGGACCGGGAATCCTTGAGTTCGCTCCAGTCCACGTGCCATTGGGTGGGCATTTCCTTGCAGCTTCCGTCTTGACCAATGACTGAGTCTTGGATGAGCTGTTTTTGCACCAGGTGGAGCAGCAGTGGTGAGAGAATCTTTGTTAAGGGAGTCGGATTCGGAATGGGTGAGTCTTCCGATGCATATTCGCCGATTATGTCGATGATCCATGCGTTCACATTCGCCGGTTTTTTGTTCGCCCATTGGGTATCCTCGTTTGCTTTGAGTTCTAGCCAGGCATTTTTCTGATGGCAAATCTCATGCCAGTCGCTGTGGAGAGACTTCAGCATCTTGAGCGAGTCCAGTAGTTCTTCTGGCGTAATAAAAGCATCTGACCTTGGCATTGCGTCGAAAATCGTTTCAAGACCTTTCTTTATGAGTCTTCGGAGCCAATTGTCGTCCGTGAAGCTTGGGCGTTCGTAATTTGCCTGGGTCTTGATTTTGCTCTCACCGATTACTCGGAGGCACACGAAATGCCAGAATCCCTCGTTCAGGATATCTTGATTTTCTAGGTCTTCCCACTCGCGGAACCAATCTTGGCTCTTGATTTTTGCCCATTTGTTGAGCTCCTCCGAGATGTTGTTCGGAAAGAGTCTGCTTTTCTCCATCGCGCTTTGGGATTCCGAGTTACGCTGAGAGTCTAGCCTCCTGGCCACGATTCTTATTGGTCCTTTTTCTATTTTCAGGGCTTCGAGTAGATTGGAGATGGTTTCGCATTCGTCCAGCTTGACGCTTGGGTCCTCAGTCGTGCCCGCTGAGTCTGCTTTTAGAAGCTTCGTGGGGCTCTCCATTGGCTTAAATGGATATGGCTTTGATTCGAGTTGCCAAGAATCCGCGAGGTCGGTTTCTGCTTCTGCAATTTCGTCTGCGATGATGGAGAGTATGAAACCAGGCTCGTTGCTCCTGTGAGCGACCCAGAGTGATTCTTTTCCTGATGGCGCCGTGAAAATGATCTGGGCCCACGAGGAGAGCTCTGCGAAATTGAATCTCGCTTTTGAGGGAGTCTGCAGATCGAACATCAGCCTGTGATTCGAGAGAGGCTCGTTTGCATCCGAGGGGACATAAAGTCTGACGAGTCTCGTGGCAATCTTTTGCTCCGCCATTGCAGTGCGAGAAATTCTTCTCCAATTTATCTGACTCATTAAGAGCAGAGTGTTTCTTTAAATGGATCAAAACCTATCCTAAATTTGGAAGGTGTTCGGGGTAGCCCGTTCCTAAAAGATTCTGAGGAGAAGAGATCCTTTCCTGGAGATTTCCTCATTGAGGGTTTGGAGTCTTCTTTGGGAGTTCTCGATTGGGCGTGTTGGATCCGAGTCCAAAGCCACTCCCCATTTGGGGCCGAATTCCAGAGCTGCCTTGACGAAGGCCTCCTCGATCATGTCTAAATGAGAGGGTCAGCAAGTCTAGGGCTTCGAGGAAGAAACAGGAATTCCGAATTTCTAAGAAGAGGGTTTCTCTGAATCTAAGAAGCCTGAAGCTGATTGGCTCGGCTCGGCGCGCCGCTGCGGCCGCTTACTGAGTAAGAATCCCAGAGCCTTCGAGGCGTAATTGCCTGAGGCTGAATGATTTTATAGTCCGTGGACTTTTAGAGGTGAAATAAGCAGGTAGCATCGATTGATGGTCTACCTAGAGTCTTTTTGATTCAGCTAGGAGTCTTATTGGTAATGCTTCTGCTGAGAAATAGGCTCTATTTAAAATTCCTCGTTTTAGGTTTTAGCTGTAGGCTAAGAACCTTTCGAATGAACCTGCGTGATTCCGGGGCACCCGCTCGAAACCAGGTGCTCTCGGGCGCCTTTGACACCTTCCGCCGCCTCCTGGGAATCCCTGCCTCTGGTTACTAGGCTTCCTGCCGCGTTCTATTTCTAGCGGGCTGCTAATCCCTTGTCCTAGATTCTTCTTTTATTATTTGAAATTCCCAAGGTTCGTTTCTGTTTTCAAATATTTTCAAAATATTTTTGTAACACAGTTCAAAGCGGTTCTTGCTCTAGTCATCCGTCATTCTTTGGTTCTCGAACGGATTAGGCTCGCAGCTGCGCGGCAAGGTAATGAATTCATAAAAATTTCTTAATCAAAGGTGTGCAAATTCGAGAACACCTCTTCTTATCCTACAATTTACTTATCAATCAAAATTTCTCAACCAAAGGTGTACGAACTCGAGAAGGCAATTATTTATTATATCACGATGAGGAAAAGATCAGATGTTCTTACAGTGAATCGACCTGCTCGATTGAGTTTTTTAAATGTTTGACTAAGAATTAATGATTAAGGACCCCCCCCCCTCCGACAGCTTTTTTCGAAAAATCAAATTTTGGAATTTTAAAATTTTGACCCAGGAAATTGGTTCTACGGGTCAAAAAACGATTTTAAGTCTTCATTTTTCGGGGTCTATCTCGACTCTTT